TAATTACCTGTGTGAACTTTTTTTAGTAGCAATCTGGGAAAATGGCACAGGAGAGAGAAAAGAAGAAACAGAGAGGACGAATCAAATTTGACAGCTTGAGCTTGCTGCTGCAGTGACATGGTCCAGAAAAATATCCTATTCAAAGCAAGAAAAAAATCTGAAAAACTGACACAACTGTTTTTGCTTTGGTCCCGACTGACCGACTAATGTGCTCAGGAATCAGGTGGAAATATCAGGTAAATCTCTTTAAACTTTGCTGACATAAGTTTTGTAGTCTTGATAGGTGAATTTTTATCTTGGTCCTCTGCTTTATTGTGTGGTGTATTACAAGGCTCAGTCCTAGGGCCCTCACTATTCTCCAAAAATCTTGAGTCATATTTGAGTACACTTTTACATTTGAAAGTCATATTAAAAGGATAATGTTGTTTTTGGAATAGCGATGTGTGAGTCAAATTTAGGTGTTTGAGCCACAGTCGATGCCGGCTAATTAAGCCCTTTTAATGAAAAAACTGCTGTGGTAACGTACATGCTAGCTGATAGCCTTGTTAGCAAATACTGGTTAAAATTTATGCTCCACTGAGAACTTTTTCAGCACTTTTCAGCTCATTCATTTTTGCACCATTTGCTGACACACCAAAAAATGTGCTCCACCATCTACAGCGCAAAGATCAGCTGACAAAACAAACAAGCCAAACTAAGAGTGATTCCAAAAATACCAAATTGGACACTCATGTTGTAAGTTGAACAAAATGAAATTCTCTCTCTTGGGCCCTTTCTGTGGAAAATCCATGGAAATTCTGTGAGAAGCTACTTTTGAAACACAAAAGGTTTCCTCTGGATGTCCTTCCAGTCAATAAAACATGAAAAAGCACACTATGGACGCCTATCTGGTCAGTAAAATGTCACAAAATGGTATGTAGATGCACTTGTAGTAGACTGAATTGTGAAATGTGCTCTATGAAGGCCCCTCCAAAAGTGAAAACATGAAAAAAGTAACCCCCAAGATGCCCTTCCAGTAAATAAAACGTGAAAGAGTGCCATATGGATGCCCGTCCAGTAAAATATAGCAAAAACATCCCCCCGGATGATTTTCCATGAAATTTGACTATATATGTTTCGTTGAGATGGAAGTTTTGTGAGCTCATACAACAGAAATTTTGACATACAAATTTTGACATACAGGTGGTTCCCCTTTTATTCTTTTGAGCCTGCCCCCCAAACAGCCCAAGCACTCCACTGCACTTCAGAACAAATAGATTTATTTGGTTCAAACCATGGCTCATCATTTGACTTGATTTTGCCTTGAGAGTAAACTGTGATGCTGAGGACGGAAATCCATGACTGCATGTTTATGTTTGTGTTTGTGTGTGTCCATCCATTGTGAGGGTGGTGGCCATTCAAAACAACAGGATTACAGGCTGGTGTTTGATAAGATGTTTGTTAGTCTGTGTGTTTCAATGTAATGAGAAACGCCAAGGCTGCAGTCACAGTGTGTGTGTGTGTGTGTGTGTGTGTGTGTGTGTGTGTGTGTGTGTGTGCGTGCATGTGTGAATGTGTTTGTGTTGTATTGTAATGAATATGGCTGTGAGGATGTCTTTATCTCTTTTAATCAAGGAAGTAGAGGGATGAAATGAAATGCTGATGAGGGGAATGATGTCAAACCCTCAAAAGGATATTGATTGTAACACTGGAGTCTACATCAGTATTCATGGCTGGGGTTTCATCTCTGCCCTGCACATATTTAAACAATGTCTCAACAAATTCAACATTGTTTAGTTATTATCATTAAATGTAAGAGCTCTGAAATTAAAGTTGGAAGTTGGTCAGTCCAGAAAAAATGGGTCAGTAACAGGACTAAATACAGAAGGTAAAACTCTGACACAAATAAAGCCAACTATCATCATTTATCAAAGCTGAGGCACAGATTTAAAACCAGCAGAGGTCCATTCAACAGCATGGAGAAGTTTAAGTGTTAAAACATGATGTCATACTGCCATCTAGTGGTGCCTTGGCTGTTCAAACATCAAGACAAACAATCAACAAACTGATCAGGATGATCTGCCTGTATGCAAAGTGCGAATGTATTTCTTACAGTTTTCTTGTAATTAATGTGTCTGAATATATTATGATTATGGATTAAATAACAATATGTATGACAGTACAACAGTTTGACAGCAATTAATGTTGTTAAAATGCACTTATGTGTGCATCATTATGGACAGATAGGTTAATATTTTCCTTGTTTGACACTTGTCATTATGTTTAATTTTTTTTGTATTTCTTGATTTTCATTTTTTATGATCTTTAGTTTGCATTTTTCATTTGTTCTGAGGAACCATTTTCACTGTCTGATTTCTGGCTGTGGCTTTGTTTATGTGTCTGATATTATTGTGTGTAAGTTTGTGTCATCATGAGATTGTCTGGATGTCCTCCAGTGAGAAAATGACATGAAAAATGTACACTCTCGATGCTCATCCAGTTGATATACTGAAACAAATGTCTCTGGATGCTTTTCTAGAAGATTAAACCTAAACAATGTGCTCTCTGGATGCCCTTCATTCTGATTTTTGATTGTGGCTTTGTTTTTTTCCTGTTATGTTGTGTGTAACTTGGTAGACTTGTGTCTATTCTATTCTATTTTGCTCTGTTCTATTCTATAGTAGAGTTATAGTAGAGTTACAGCTCTAGTTATAGTAGAGTTCATAGTAGAGATTTAACTTGCACATACAGATGTAGCGACGAACTGTATTTACTGACAGTGGTTTTCTGAAGTGTTCCTGAGCCCATGTGGTGATATCCTTTACACACTGATGTCGGTTTTTGATACAGTACCGCCAGAGGGATTGAAGGTCACGGGCATTCAATGTTGGTTTCCAGCCGTGTCGCTTACATGCAGTGATTTCTCCAGATTCTCTGAACCTTTTGATGATATTATGGACCGTAGGTGTTGAAATCCATAAATTGCTTGCAATTGTACTTTGAGAAATGTTCTTATACTGTTCGACTATTTGCTCACGCAGTCGTTCACAAAGTGGTGAACCTCGCCTCATCCTTGCTTGTGAATGACTGACAATTTTTGAGGAAGCTGCTTTTATACCCAATCATGGCACCCACCTGTTCCCAATTAGCCTGCTCACCTGTGGGATGTTCCAAATAGGTGTTTGATGAGCATTCCTCAAATCTCTCAGTATTATTTGCCACCTTTCCCAACTTCTTTATCATGTGTTGCAGCCATGAAATTCTGAGTTAATTATCATTTGCAAAAATAAAGTTTAAGAGTTTGAACATTAAATATCTTGTCTTTGTAGTGTATTCAATTAAATATAAGTTGAAAAGGATTTGCAAATTATTGTATTCTGTTTTTATTTACATTTATTACAATTTCCCAACTTCATTGGAATTGGGTTTTGTACATTGCTTTATTCTATCTTATATGTAACGTTCCTTTCTATTCTATCCAAATTTATTCTATATAAATCTTTAATCAATATACTTTTACGTTATACTATTCTTTTATATTTAACTTTCCATCAATTCTATTCTATACAACTTTCTCATCTATTCTACGTTATTCTATTCAAATTGCAAGTGGAATATAATACAGGGAGCGTTTCTGAAATGCTCCTTGCTCATTATTTCAACCTTTAATGTAACTGAGCAGATTAACGTAAAACAACTGGGACTGTCAGTGTGTGTAACATCCATTTATTACCACCTTATATGACAAATCTGGAAATTACAAACATTGTTTAATTGAAACATTATTCTTAACATTCAAAAAAAAAAAAAAAAAGAATCAAACTGAGCAAAAAATAAAAATCAAGCTAAAAGGTGAAGAGTCAACCTGAGAGACGATATAATGACGGATCTGAAGGAGAAAATAAAAGGAAAAGGGGGGACGTATACAGAAAACATGACCAGTATTATTGGTCATGTGACACTGATTCACAGCAATTTTTTACATTTTAATCAGTTATTTTGTATTTTTCTAAAAAATCATGACCATCCTTGAGGATTTTTTTGGTTAAACCTAATCAACCTTTGTTAAAAAAAAGGTCCTTTCATTTAAAAAAATTAGCCGCTGCTACAAAAGTTTCTCTGACACTGTACTCAACTTCTCAGGCTTTGGCTTTAAATGGAGGAAACCAATTCTGTCACCACAAAACAGGTGAGGTTAACCTCTTCTGCTGTCAGGAAAAGAGGATCAAACTTTGGTGCCAAACAGGTCAGTAGCTCTGCATTTCTTTAGAAAAAACTGTTCAAATTTGTTTTTTTCTTTTTGTTCTTTGCAAGTGTTTTAATCTGATTATCCCCCCCATCAGTTTCATCACCACATAGCTGAAGTGAAAAAGTAATATGTTTGTGCGATACTTTTTTTGCAGGAAAAAAAAAACAAGACAAATGACAGCAAAGATCAAATGGTAATCATAAAGCAACTCCAAAGATGCTGATGGATCATATACAAGCGACTGTGGTGATCAGAGTCGATGCTCACGCACCCTCTGCCGTCAGACCGCTTCAGTTATCTCTGCATGTCTTTAAGTGATATCGGCAGAGGGTAGAGAGCAGGAGAAGAGGACTGAGAAGTTCTTCTAGCACCCTGCTGCAGACAGAGACCAAAGTCCCCCGGCAGACAAATACCCTCCCTCTCCTCCTGTCAGTCCCCTTGAGGAATTTGCACAGTTCTTATTAAATTTTTTTTCCATCCTGCACCCAACATTGTCCGATTAGAAACAGTGCAAACTGGGAGACATGCATGAGGAGATCTCATCACCAAAGAGTCAAACATGCACAAAATGAGAGTACCCTAGAAGTCTGCTGCCTAGAGCACTAAGAAAACACGACTATACACTTTATTCATGATATAATCAGTTTTTCTCTACATACTACTAACATAGAGAGGGAGGGGGGAGGAGGAACGGGTGAGGGGCAGAAGGACGGAGAAACAGACCAGTGAAGGGAGGGCAGGGGAAAGGAGAAAGAGAAAGAGTAGTGGGCATTTAAGCACGCTCCCCACGGATACGGCGTGCCAGCTGGATGTCTTTGGGCATGATGGTGACACGTTTGGCGTGGATGGCGCACAGGTTGGTGTCCTCAAACAGACCCACCAGGTAGGCCTCGCTGGCCTCCTGCAGATAGCAGAGTCAAAACATTTGTTTTTCAGTTGGAGTGATTCAAAACAGTATCAGCTTAAGACTTTTCTACTGTAAGTGCTACTAACCTGCAGGGCTCCAATGGCTGCACTCTGGAAACGCAGATCGGTCTTGAAGTCCTGGGCGATTTCTCTCACCAGGCGCTGGAAGGGCAGCTTGCGGATGAGCAGCTCAGTGGATTTCTGGTAACGACGGATCTCACGCAGAGCCACAGTACCAGGCCTTCACAGCACACAGACGAAGACATGTTTTAAACAGGTTAGAGAGGCAGAATTTCCCTTTTTTGATGTCAAATTTTACATTGCAAAATTTTCAACTTCCAGCTGATTCACTGACTGTATCTACTGTTACTTGAGTTTACAGGTTGTGGGCTGTATCCAAGTTTTGCTCATCAGGGAAAAGGCTGTTTACATGCTTGCAGGTAATCTGGTTATCTATATCTAAAATACATGATAAACTCTTGTATCCTGGTTTCTGATGACTGCATCTTTTTTGTGCAGGTGCCAGTGATGTTTGTACTCGTTGTTTGTTTTGATGAAACAAACACTCAAATCCACACAAACTTGCTCAGAGAATTCATAAAATAGAGATTAATACATTATTTTGCACCGATTTCTAGAAAAAGAAAATTAAAGGTTTTTCCTTGCCAGTAAAAAAAACAACTGTGTAATCACCTGTGTGGATGTTGTTTTTGCTCATCTCACCTGTAACGATGAGGCTTCTTCACTCCTCCAGTGGATGGGGCGCTCTTACGAGCGGCCTTTGTGGCCAGCTGTTTACGTGGGGCTTTGCCTCCAGTGGACTTACGGGCAGTCTGCTTGGTACGGGCCATGGCTGCTAAAGGTTACCTGCAAAACATTAAGAGAGGAGAAGGAGGGAGACTTTTTATCAAATCTGAGCTGCACCCGTACAACATATTTCATGGATGAGACTTTACCTTTAGGTCAGCTAGTTTTGTTCACCATTTTCTTTCGCATTTTTGATCCGACACATAATTGAAAATGTGCGAATAAAACTAAATTCTCCAAATTTTGATTGTGGCAGATGTTTAACGTCTGTGTACATCATTGTGTACACTCACCTACCCAGCATTCGACTCACCTGGAAAAACTAGTCCAACAACTTTACAATGAATTTTACCTTTTAGAAGTTTTTACATCCTCACTTTTTGTTGACATGGTCAAATAGGTGATTTCAGTTCTTTTGGATAAGTTTCTAAAGTTGTAATAAATAGTGGTGGAGTGTTACATGATAGGACGTTCAACATTTTCAGCTTCTCTCATGTTTTTTTGATTTAGTGGACAAAATAAAGGGAACACCTATTGATAACACTACAACCACCTACTGCCACTCAAAAAATTAATTTAAAGACTAATTATCATCTGTATAACTATGACAACAAAAACTGGAAATGTAGGAAGCTTTGTAAAAGTCTATTTTATTGTGCCGGGTTGCCTAGTTATACCTGGTTGTTTTGATAGGTGAGTGATCTCCTGTTGGTATGATAATTCTACACTCGACCACTAAACAATGATAATAAAGCCTTCAGCTACAGCACTTTATGTGTACGTGCTGAAGTATTCATATGATGTGATAAAGTTGTTTGATTTGAACGCGCAGCTCTGAAAGTTAACTTTTTGGGGAGAGTAAACAGTCAAGATATTCTCTATCCAGTCAGTCCGATAAACATCAATCAAAGGTGAACTGCGAGCCCATTGGCTGTAAAACAAATACGCAACTATGAAGACAACGTTTAAACCAATCAGCACGCCAAGTCTTCCGCCTGGGCGGGCTTTGTAGCTGCGTTCCACTGTTGCTAGGTCCGCCCTCTTCGCTCTGATGATGGCGGCGGTTTGATGCGCAAACGGGATAAAGACCCGGGGCAGAAGAGCACAGGAGCAGCTCGTAAACAACTGAAATTTGACGGATAGCCGCTCTTCCAGTTTTTAGGAAAAGGGGACAACAAGACAGAAGACATTTCAAGGAATTCGTAGATACGCATAGAAAGGCTGACCGGTCACTAACGGCTGCGTAGAACCGAGCTGAACCGGCGCATAATTTGAAACCGAATTTTCTTCATCTGAACGGCTGCAGCAAGAACCGCGTTTCACCGCCGTTCAGCTGCCGTGTTAGTAATGTTCAAACACGACGAAATCTACGCTTTTCCATTGTTAATAGAGCCGACAAATGAAGAAAAATGTAACTTAAAAAATCAAAGTAAACTGACAGACAGAGTGTGGTATTTTGAGAGGCTTACCTTGGGGAAAAGTGAGCAGAAGTAGAGAGAAAAGGTTCTCCGGTCTCTATTTTCCTCTTCGTTTCCACAATAGGAGCCAGCGTCCAGCGGGAAAATGGCCGCCGCGTCAATCATCTGCCCCACAATGCAACAGCGTTTACAACGTTCCTGTGTTTCTTTTAGCAGTTAGAGAGCTGACCGCGAATAAAGCGTTATTTTAACAGATTTATTATTGACTCAAAACGACTTTATTAAACATTCACACAAAATAACAGAGAGTAATGTGTACTTAGTCATTTTGAGTGTTAGGCTGTCTTAAATCAACCAGAGGAGAGATCATCCAGGTCAAAGCGAAAGTGATGAGTATTAAAAAAGTTTGCCACACTTTTACATGGATGTTAATACCACCAGGTTTTAATTTATAAGGGCTATAACACGATATCGGTAAATATCTTGCAAGGTAAAGTCATACACAAACGCTCATGCAATAACAAACGCAACAAACCCGTCAGACCTGTTTTTTAAACTACCCTTCTATACACAAGACCCTTTAACGCTATGATAAAGGAAAACTAATTCCTTGATAAAACATTTAGGCCATGATTGTTTCTAATATGTCAGCTTATGCGTTTTCCCCCTCACCCTGCCACGTGTGGAGAATGCAACCTTAAAAATATTTATATTAAGGTTTTTCATTAATATAATTTATATTTTGTGACACATTTTGAAAGCTCTCAAAAAACCACATTTACCTGAGATAAAAAACAACCTTTTTTTCTGAATTAAAGTTACAGTTTTCTCAGAGTTAAAAATATTTTTTCTTTTGATAAATTTTCTACCTTTAACAGAAACAAAAACAAATGATGTTCATGATTAACAACACAAATGCATTAACCCAGGAAAATACGTTAGTTTATATTCATATATGAAAAAAGGCACCTTATATGATTATAAAAATGTATTCAGAAATTAAAGACATTTTTTCTTGAACGCATGTAATATGTCTCCAAAATAGTCAGGTAAAACCTCTCAGAAACCAACTTGTTCATTTGGAATTTGAAAATCTAATTTCTGGCATACAACATGTATTCATTTTATGATGTAATAACTTTAAATGAACAGTTGGGTTTTGGGTGGACATAATTTTAGAGATAGGGAGAGTTCTAGATAGAATTAACCAAATATTTTTTACACAGTTATGAGAAGGGAACCCCCTCATTTGTTATTTTAGTGAATTATTTTGTATGTTTAACAGAGCTGCACAATCATGGCCACAGTGATAATCGGGACTAATTAGTTTGATGCTGAGATCACAATGGCAAATCACACTCATTAATCAAAAGGACATTTTTATATATGATTCTGTTTTTTAAAAAAATGCTGTTTTTTATTATATGGCAGGTCCAGATTAGGACGTAAACTCTAACCCAAGTTTGTCACTCTGTCCTTCTGCTTTAGTCATTTAGTCACACACATTTCCTGATCATACTCTCATCCTGCTCCATCACAGATATTTTTTCTGCACTTGGGTATGTTGAGATACATAACGCTAAACAAAAAACCTCACCATCAGGCACATCTCCTGTTCTCATGATGAAATTCATGAAAAATCATAGTGGTTATTACAAGTCACTAAATTGTCCAGCCCCCATTACTTGAAAAGCATTTGAGAGTAGAAATTTAATTGAGGACAACTGATCCAAGTAAATTAGCTAAAACAGAAAATGATTCCAGTTAATTTGAGACGTTTCTATCAGCAGTATGTCCACTGACTCTTCATAAAAATGTTCATTGTGTAAGCCCAGATATTCACTCTTATAGCTTTACTTAACCACAAAGATCTGTTTATTATTTTTGTATGTGAATTCCAGAGTACAAATATTTTGCTTTTAAAAATGACTGCAAACAAAAATCAAAAACACAGTAGAAAAAAAAAGGTTATCATATCAACCTGAGAGAGGAACAAAAAGTCAAACATTACCTCGACATAGTAACGTGGCTGAAAATCAAAAACATGATTAACATAGGTCTGCTACATATACGCCGCGTGTAGTCTGCCAAAAATGCAGTGTCATCATAGCACAATGACATTTTTAATTGACAACCAGATTCAAACTAAATTTTTTTGATACATTTAACAGTAGAAATAACACTACCATTGAAAAATATTACTACTTCTACAACAAATTTCTATTCATAAAAGGCAAAGAAAAGACAGACTGATTATATCGATGTTTACATCCATCTGGAGATGAAATGTCTTTTTTAATGCTATTTCCTATGCCCAAGTCTTATCACACACTATCCTTGTTTTGCAGAAGCACCCTTTTAACGAAGAAAAAGCGTTCCCTCTGAGCTAGCAGGTTAAAAGTGAGGAGTGTAGCTGTGATTTTACATTTCAGACATACATGATATTTCTAGAGAAACTGCTACTAGTAGCACCAAAGAGAACATGATCACACAATTTACGGTTATCACAATCATATGATATATAAAGAACCTCAACCCAAACTACTAATTAAGTAGGAAAGAGTGGTGAACAGATAAGAGGATAGCATGAAAACAACAGAAAATTTATTAAGCACGCTCCCCACGGATACGGCGTGCCAGCTGGATGTCTTTGGGCATGATGGTGACACGTTTGGCGTGGATGGCGCACAGGTTGGTGTCCTCAAACAGACCCACCAGGTAGGCCTCGCTGGCCTCCTGCAGATAGCAGAGTCAAAAAACATTTGTTTTTCAGTTGGAGTGATTCAAAACAGTATCAGCTTAAGACTTTTCTACTGTAAGTGCTGCTAACCTGCAGGGCTCCAATGGCTGCACTCTGGAAACGCAGATCGGTCTTGAAGTCCTGGGCGATTTCTCTCACCAGGCGCTGGAAGGGGAGCTTGCGGATGAGCAGCTCAGTTGATTTCTGGTAACGACGGATCTCACGCAGAGCCACAGTACCAGGCCTTCACAGCACACAGACGAAGACATGTTTTAAACAGGTTAGAGAGGCAGAATTTCCCTTTTTTGATTTCAAATTTTACATTGCAAAATTTTATTCACATTATTATTTTATTTACAGTGCCAGGCCTGAAGAGGCAAGAAAAAAAGGAAAATAGATTTGGAAGCAGCCAAACTGAACATCTTTCTTGAATTGCACGAGTTGAATAAAAAAAATCGAAAATCTATCAATGTGCAAAATGATGTTGACAAATATTGTCCAGTGTTTGACCGTGATCATCTTTGAAACACAAAAAGAAGGGTGTGAGATTTCACCTGTAACGATGAGGCTTCTTCACTCCTCCAGTGGATGGGGCGCTCTTTCGAGCAGCCTTTGTGGCCAGCTGTTTACGTGGGGCTTTGCCTCCAGTGGACTTACGGGCAGTCTGCTTGGTACGGGCCATGGCTGCTAAAGATTACCTATGGGCATAAAAGAAAAATTGCTTTAGCTAAGAAAATTCTTATCAATTTGGAACATGCGCAAAAGAATGGCTGAAAAAATCAGGAGTTGAAGGATTAAAGAATAAAGCACAGGGTGAATTTAAATTTAATAAGCCGGGGAAGGTATTCTTAGGGCACATTAAAACTACGAGGCAATTCAAAGTACCTCAAAAAAGATGTTAAAAGTCATACTATCAAAGAAGGCATTTTGAATTAAAACGGGGAAAAAAACTACAGTATACATGTACAGGTCAATAACAAAAGTTTTGGTAAGGTAAAGCATATTGAAATTTAATGATAACTTTTAAATATGATGGATGATTTGAAATGTGCAAAAAATCAACATCAGGGGAAGCGGTGTTTATTTTCCAATTTTCTCTCATGCAGCTTATGCAATAGCCGTTGTTTGAAAAATGACAGCAAACCCCTCCAATCATAGTCGAGCTGATTATCAAGTAAGCCAATGGTCTTCCTTTTACGGGGCTCCGGGGCGGGAAATTGCTTTCCTTCAAACCAATCGCTGCGCGGTAAGTTCCGAACAAACTCCGCCCCTTGCGCAGTGACCCAGTGTTCGTTCGTTTCTTCGTAGCGTCTTTCCCGGTTGCGCAGAAGCCTTGATTTTTTATTCAGAATGAGCTATTTTGAAGAAAACCAAGCGACACCGCCCGCCTCTACTGCCCTATGTAAGGAAACGAGCGCACTCCAAGATGATGGCTGGCTGCTGGCGAGAAGAATGTAAACGGGAAGGAAAAATCGTTGTGCCCAACGACGAAGGTGATGATAAAACGTCGAAAGTTCACAAACACCGCGGGTCGAAAGTGGAATATATTTTTTCAACACGACACTACAAATATCAGAGGATGTTTTGGTTTACAATATTTTGTCAGATGACCCCTCAGTTTGGGCGCATTTCCGAGTCAAGTTTGATTAGATCACAACTGCCTTTTCGTCCCCGACTCCCCGAGCAGGATCACAAGAGCTTCACTGCTCTGCGTTTGCTTTTTCACCGAAAAAACAAACGAAAAAACACCCATCCAAAGAATAACACAGCATTAAATGATAGATCGAGCCTTTAAGAAAAATATGAGACCTACCTTTGCCGAAGAAGTGATGGATTTTCGCTTGAAAACGTGAATTTATTCTTGAGTCTGTAAAGCGTTGTTCTCGCTTTGAAACGAAGGGAGGAAAAAAAGGAAAAAGAACATAGAGCAACAGGGGACTCATTTCCCATGATGCACCTGGAATAAACATACAACATACACACAATCGCATGATCAACATTTACTTACACGGCATTGAGGTTTAACGATAACTTAGTTTAAAATCTTTATTTTAACTGCAGTTCAGGTTTGCTTGTAAACGCAAAAAAGATTTTTTTTTCTAAATTCGGAGGAAACATATTTTTAAAGAATCCTTAAAGAAACACAAAATAACTGACAAAACCTGATTAAACACTTAGATACAAAATATAAAGTAATTTTGTAAAGTTTATGTAAATAATTAACACTTTAATTTCATCATGACACTTTTCTCTTGTGCTGATTAATTCTCAATTTTAATGAAATCCCTCCTCTATGAAACAGCCCGTATTATTCTGATAAATAAAGACTCACATAGAAAGGTTTTACACGCTCATATTTTAGAAACAAATATTTAGATAAAGTGATAGATTTAGTACCTATTACAAAAATATTATTTGGTAAGTAAATGTGTGTTAGAGTTATTCCAGGATCAGACAGCAGGCTGCTCTCAAAGATTACACCAAATCATACGAAAGTTAAACCAGATATACACAAGATCTGAACTATTTATGACACCGTTCGTTGTTGAAGCTCCTCTTATGGGTAAATCCGCTATTGTAAAGGAAGAAATATGAGTGCATTACAACAGTAGAAGGGGGTCATGGAGAGCTGGCCTCTAGAGTGCCCCTAAGTGTCTGAAATCGATCACATACTTCATTTAAATGTTATTTCTGTCGAGCAGATTTTCAGATAACTTTACTGCCTTTACACAGTCAGTCCCGTGGGTGGCGCCATCTTTGTCAGCGAAGAACACGCCACGAGAGAAGAAGACACGAGGTTCTGTTGCTCAACATGGCGGCGGCCAGGAGGCTGAAACGCGTGGTGGCCTCACAGCCAGGTTTTCTTCATTTAAAAAACACTTCAGAGCCAACAGACTTGGTCAGTAGTCGGAGAAAACGCGTGAATAAGAATAAGAAGAAAAATTGGAACAAACACAGCGAAATTAACGATGTAGAAGACTTTTTAGAGGACGTGAGACTCCAGGAGAGAACCACAGGGTGAGTAAAGTCTGTGTTGGGGAGGATGATTCCTGGGAAACAGAGGAGAAAAAGCAATATTGTAACGTTAGATAATCCTTAACCATTAAAATAAAACCTTACGATACAGGACGTTTTGGGATGCTTTTAGGCTTAGCTGTTATAACCTGTACTTTGACGTCGTTTATGTAAGCATAATAAGGTTGCGTCGATAAACATCGACGTGTCTTTTTATCTTTGAGGGAAAACTCTTTTCATGGTTTTGTTTTTAAAGTTAAACTCTATGGACCTAAAACCCAGTTTGATTAAATATATTAACTTAACGTAAATGTACTCTGTGGGTGAGATTTGGGTGTATCATGACCGAAATGACAATCTCTGTCTATTCGACCCGGATTGAGTTAACGATAATTGATCTTGCTTTTGGCGTTGATTTTGTTATGATGATAATTGTGTCGTACAGTGCTTCTAAAAATAAAGCAAATCCCAGAGTTCTGCTGTTTGTAGTTATCTTCAAGATTTAGAAATACATTTATAATGGTCGTACAGATCAGTCTTTAAACCAGGGCCATTTATAATCTGAGTGTGAGTTATAATAATTTAAAGCAGTAAACTTTTAGTTTCCCCTTTCAAATAATGTAAAAGAATGTGAAACATTACCGTTTGTCAAGAGTAACCACCTGTTATTTTAACAATCTTATGCAAGTATATGTCCATTTCCATGTGTCTGCAACCTCCAATCAAAATAAATCTTAACAACTGTTTCAATTAAACCTTTGTCTTTTTAGAAGTTTAGGTGTGCAACTGTACCGAAGGCCTTTAAAGAAATATATTAGAAATATTAGGGAGCTAGACCAACAAAAAATTGCAGAATGCGTTGAAACAGATCACTCCACATCACGATGCTGATCCTGGTCAGGCAAGAGAACTTCATCCACATCATGTGATGTTGCTGCTCCACCGTCTTGCAGAATACCTGTAGAAGTCACCTGAGGCCTCTTTAAAATCCACTGATTGTGCAGTCCTTTTCTTGTCTCATTTAAGTCTGCACTCAGTGTTATGTCTCATGGGGAGACCACAGTTTGCACATGTTTAAGGCTCCTTGTGTGTAGGTTTACTGTTAAATAATTGATAGTTGTCTGTGTTTCCCCTAGGTTGAGAATTTACTTGTGGTTGGCCAGGTGGTGCAGGGTGGCGCCATGGTGTTTGATAAGTGCATTCAAAGTAATCTAGTCAAACTAAGGTTTATGAACTGTGCGTTATTTATTGCACATACAGGGCTCCAGACGAAATTGTTTTGCTAAGAGCACAGTAACCCCTAGCTAAAAGTTAGTTAGCCCAAGCAGAAAATTTAGGGGTGCACACTTTAACTTGACTTGGAAGGCAAGTAATTCACATTTACTCTAATTTTCACTGTATTACTGATAAATAGATAATAAATGCAGAAATTACAATGTGCTGTTTTAAATTCAGTGTCACATTTTATTGTGCACTTTTAAAGATGCAAAACAAACATAAAACAAGATAGACAGTGCACTGTTATTACACTGAGCAATGAGAAGTTTTTTTTCACACATGGCAATTGCTTACAACAACTTTAGACTGCTACAGACTGTTGCTTTGCTAACAACCAGAAAAAACTACTAGAAAAAAACAGCCTTCAGTTGGCTTCATGTCTTGAAAAGGACAATCTCTTAGACAAAACTAATGGTACAATAACTGAAACTGTGTGAGGAAGAAAACAGTATATAATTAACAATAAGTTAGAGTAGCTGTAGTGCAACAATTTGGGTGCGCTTCTGTATACCATCCACCAGCATGTCCTGCATTGCGCCGCCTTTGTCTGGAGGAAATCCTGCTGTCTGTGTGTCTGCATGACCCCGCATTTTTTAAAAATCTATTTTCTTCTTCTTGGGCAGGTGTCAATGGTTTGGGAAGGGTGGGCCGCCCAAGTGAAGTTTACGTTGGGGAAACACTGGTTGTGTCAGTGCTAAATCTGAAATGTTTGTGACCTGGTTTGACCTTTTTGTATTTCAGGGGTCTACTGTCTGAGAAGCCGGATGACAGTTTGTTCTTTGTGGATGTTGGGCAGCCAAAGAAAGCTGAACAGGAGGGTAAATATTTCATCACACAATTAAAAACAGAAATCTTGGAAATGCAGGTAAAACAGCAGGAATGCTCAAAGAGTTACGTATCTTAACTACAGCAAACCTCTTGTGGTGTAAAGAAATGTTCATCTCATGTTGACCCTAAAACCAATATGTGTTCTCTCTAAAGAAGCAGAACCTCTGAAGGGGAAGAAGGGGAAAGGAAAAGTATCACGCCCACTGAGGATAGACCTGATCCTGCAGTCTGACTCCCTCGTTGCTCCACCTAAAGAGTCAGTGTTATTGTGTCTCTTCTTCTGTCCAACCTTAAAGTTCCTGCAAAGAACAAAATATAGACAATGTTCGGCTTGTTGTGAACTCTGACCACTAGAGGGACAAGTGAGCAGACCCACCATCTAGGAGCCAAAGTGCTGCTCAATGTCAGAGGATTAGATAAAACCAGAAAAATCCCAGTTTCTGTTTTTTCGAGATCACAAAGACCTTCAAAACAAACAATGTGTTTTGATAAATTTGACTTTTAATGAAAGAAAAGTTATGACAGTGATGGTGAAGCAAGATTCATTCCACTTGCAAACCTACTCATATTATAGGGTGAAACACAATAATACACACATAAAATATGAATCAGACCGTAACCCATTGCTCCAAACCCCAAAATGTGACAATAACTTTGTCATGTTATATATTTAAACCTAAACAGTAGTCTGATCTGAAACCAAAATTTCTAGTGTATTTCATTTGTACAGTAAAATGAGTTCTCCTGTTGACATGTTGACAAATTTTCCAGAGTAATAACCTCCAATATCTTCGAAATAAAATCTAAGCAAGTGATTGGAACAACAGTACACCCTCAAACAGATCCATCCTGCTCTTTTAGGATGTTTCAGAGTCATTTGAAGGGTGGTGCCGATGTCAGCTGAAGCTGGTCACCCCAATCAAAGACAGTGCTTGTCCAATGATGATCTCATCCTTGCGCTCCCAGTATTTCCTTTATGGGAATGTGAAGAAGACACATAGGAGCTCAGGAGACTGTTGTGTGAGCAGTGTCCTGGGATCTGAGGTTCATGAAGCAAAACAACAAGTCTTAGAGAGTGTGATGCTGTCAGAGCTGTAATTATTTGAAAGTGGCGCCGAGAAAACATGTCGGATTTTAAAACTAAACCATTTTACTAATTTATAAAAACAGTATACTGATTTTATAACTAGATGACAATTTAGGTTTCTATTTTTTGTGTCATGATGTTTGTCACAACCCAGTTTGAATTTAGTTCTTTACCTTTGTTGTATCCAGTCTCATGTGTCCTGAAACGCCTCTCAGAATCAGCTAACCGTCTTGTCTCTGTGCTCCCTCCCTCCCAGTGTGCTGGCCTACCAACAACCCAATGCCAAGAAACTCCGCCGCATTGCCCAGAAGGCTGAGCAGCTGGCAGCCAAAGGCGTGGTGCCGCGGCGGCAAAGACAGCTGCTGAACAGACGGCCGGTGGAAAGGACCGCCAAGAGGGCTGTGACTGAGGCGAACAACAACCCAGACAGAGAATATTACGACATATGGGGACAAGAATGTGAGTGCTCAGTGGTTTTATATCTGACTGTGCCTGTCCGGTGATGATCCCATCCTTGCGCTCCCAGTATTTCCTTCATGGGAATGTGAAGACAAACTTGGAGCTCAGATGACCGTTGTGTGAACAGTTTTCTGGGATCTGAGGATGCACATGTGAAACTTTGAGCCAAATTATGTGATAAGTGTGAACTTTCTGCTCTATTAAACATAAATGCTTACATGATGAAACCTTTTTTCTTCTAAATGTAGCGAAAGACACAGCTGACCCCTGGTACCTTCAACAGACAGGAAAGAAGCTGGTCAAGGTGAGAAAAACACTACATATTGTGAAAAAGGTTATCTGTTGGTATGACTGTGGAAGATTGAACAATAGATGGGTTCAAACAAAATGTGCCGTCACTAGGCTGCGTCAGATTCAGATGTAAATACCTGAAAATAAAAGCTGAGATGTTGATCTCTTGTCTTGTGTTCAACTTTTGATGACAATGAGTGGAGTGCACCTACCATGTGCAGCCATTTAAGTCTGTGTGGTGTTTTATTAATTGTTGATGTTTTAACAGCGTCCAGAGAAGCTGAACGAGAAGCCATCAGTGCTCCCTGCAGTGGAAGTGATCGCTCCAGGAGGATCCTACAACCCAGACTTCTTCTCTCATCAGGTAAAGCCTGGCGTCACTCACTCAGCATGTTTTCGTCAACAATCAAGGCAGGCTACAGCTATAACTAAGTTAGAGGGGTTAGTTGGACTACTGTCTTTTTATCAGTGTTGTCATGTGGTATCTGACTGTTTTTCTTTCCCCTTCTCTCAATCTGTTAACTCAGGCCCTTCTGCAGGAGGCTCACGGGGTGGAGGTCAAGAAGAAAAAGGAAGAGGACAAAATCGAACGACAGCTGGCTGTGAACAGAGACAACATAGCGACAGAGGTAAAGAAGATTTCTTGACACATACATTAACTCATTATTTTAATAATGTTTTAAATACTTTAAAACATTGATCCTGGTTTTATCTGACGTGTTCTTTGTGTTTGTTGTGCAGGAGACAGTGTTAAGAGAGCAGGTGGAAGGACTGGTAGAAGAAGAGAACGAAGAGGAAGATGTTCCTGATGAGGAGGAGGAGGGTGACGTGGCTGTGGGAGGGATAACACTGTCTGAAAAAAAGACGGAGAGACAGAGGAAGAGAGAGAAAGCAGATAAAATTAAGGTACACACCTACACTACTCTGCCTGAATCATTTAAATTTCTTAATGCAGAAATATCCGTAGACATTTCCATGATGTATCTATGAGTTATTTTGGGAGAGAGCAGACATTTTTGAAGCAATCCAAAACAATTCAGAAAGATATTTCAGACTCAATGTCCAGTTTTCTGCGTACTTGTTCTTATTGAGGAAAATTAGCATTACCACATGGCTGGGGGCACAACTGGGTCATAATCTGTCTGGCAGCAGAAAACACCCTGAGACAGCGCTGATGTTGCTGGTACCCAGAGATAGTGATGTGTTAGCCAGTTGGTTCACAATGGAACACTACAAACCTGAAACACCCTGGCAGCTCAGTTTACTATGAGAGCACATCCTGTTTTTGCCAACCTGATAGAAAATCAGATGAAAACTGGAATTCTTCAATAAGCCATAAATTCCCCTCTATTTCCCTCTCTCCTCTGCTCACAGGAGCAGCAGCGGCTCGACGACAGGCGGCTCACCGACCAGCGGCAGCAGCTCTTCCAGTTGCGCTCCATAAAATCCTCCATCAAGCAGCAGGACCAGAAGACTAAGACCAGACAAGAACGACGCAAAGCCAAACAGGAGGCCCAGAAGGCTCAACCCAGACGCCTCGGCAAACTGAAGTAGGAACCTGACACACTCACTTTCAAGAGGCCACTCTGCTGCTCTATTACTTTGCTCTTTTATTCATCTGAGATACCCACAGATGCTGCTCTGTGGTTGTTACTGTATTGGCTTACTGTAAAGGATTGTTTTTGTTCCCTTCCTGCACTGGTTGGGAAGTGCAGGTTGTATTGGATGTGGTTCTGTGTCGCTGTCATTAGTTCAGATCATTTTGATTCACTAAATAATGATCAAGCTTCCTTTACATGTGGCTCCTCTATGTGCAGGTGTGTCTAAACTACATAGAGATGTATGGTTCAGTCCACCGTAGGAATAACTGAAGCAACCATTGAAGTGTTTTTTTTTTTTTTTGTTGACATGCATTATATGCAGGAACAAAACATGCAGTCTGATCTTTGCCTGCAGTTATCCTGCAGGGGGCAGTATGTGGATCTGCTTTAACATGCTGCTCTTTATTTGCAGGTTCCAGGCTGAGGACCTGGAGGTGAAGCTCAGTGATGAGATGGTCGGTTCCCTGCGACAACTCAAGGTACTTCATCAGCTCTTCTCGTTTAACTTCCTGATCCGGTTTGACCCCAGAGAGGGAGGACGCTGAGTCTTTATCTGTAATGAGTTCTGGCTCATTAAGTTGGCCTTATCGTCTTTCTGACTCTGTATTGTCTCATTCTGAGCTCTGTCTTTTTCTTTGACGCTGCTCACTTTCAGCTCTCATGGGGATCATTAGACTTTCATTTTACATCCAGTGAGAAACTGCAGCTCTGCTCTCGTATCACATGTCATTACGTCTCTGAATGGTACTTAAATCAGGCTTTGTGGTGTGAATGGGGTCTTATGATTTGAGTGGGAATTGAGTCAAAGCTCAGTCACATTTGACTCACATGAGTTTCTCTTGTAATGCTGTGACTCTGCAGCCAGAGGGCAGTGTGCTCAAGGACCGGTTTAAGAGTCTGCAGAAGAGGAACCTCATCGAACCAAGAGAAAGAGCCAAGTAAGGACCTGAGCCTCTTATGTAACATGTCATCACACATTCACAGCGATACACACATCCACAAGGTGTCCATTGATTTTAAAAACGTGCCCCTCTGCTCCCACCTTCTTCTTTCCATTAGGTTCAAGAGGAGACACAAGCTGAAGTATACAGAGAAGAGGGCTTTCAGAGAGATCACTTAATGCTGCTGACCCACAGACCAGCAGCTGGACTACACATAGCTGGACCACAAACCAGACCTAATGGAACTATGTATATACAGGTTAAGAAAAGTTGAGGACCCTTTTTGACCTTTTCACACAAATACAGTCAGTAATAAATAAATAAAGCCGTGCAGTGATTTCACTTCTCTGGTGTGTGTCAAACACCTTCTCTGGCATTTCAGTGTTATGTAATGCGATCCCTGCAGGGAAAGGTTTCCTAAGGATTCATAGTAAACAGCTGGGTCTGCCGAGGTTGGGTGTCAGTGTGTCACTACTCTCTTTATACAAGTTAAGACTCACAGCTTGGTTGATTATAAGTCTGGTGCATGGATACTGATGCACGTCAGCTATGGGTGCAGCTGCAGTTTCTGGGAAAACTCAAATTCAAACATGCAAACTCTTTTTATCCTAAATTAAGGTGTGCACAACGGACATCTGCAACTGTGCAGTACATCGATGTCAGTAGCTGAGGTTATTCTGTATCTGATCATATCTCATCTTTATTTCAATTTTATTTATTTAGTACAGGGAAGTCATCAACTTATGATTCAGAGAGGAGGGCTTGTATTGGGCAGAGGGAGTCACCTGTTCAAACACCAAATTTTTTTTATGGTCAAATATCCAAGGACATTGTGGTAGAGTGCCTGAATACAGTGATCAGGTTACATGCAGTTTGAACGACGCAACAACAATCTAATTTCATCAGATCTCAAAGCATCAAGAACAGTTAAACAAACAATACAAAAAAAACCCCTCAGAGTTGGCCATGAGCTAAATTATTGTTTCGAACAGCTTTGATTTTCACAGCCATTAACTTGGAGGGTAAGTTTGGGGTTCCTGTTCTACGACGGGGGTTCACTTCTTAGCAAGGCGAGTCTCCATGGCAACGTATGCTGAATGGCTAACCTGCTCCGGGGCAGGTTAGGTTCCAGATTGAACTCACCAAGTATAAAAAACCCCACCCACTGACCGATGAGCTCTCTCGAAAAATGGCTTGTTCGTTCTTGGAGGCGCGCGAGAGTTTAATTTTTTTTTCTTAATGTGTCCCTTCGTCGTAATTTCGCTGGTGCAACAGATAGACAAGATTATACAAAAGAAATAAGCCCTTATTTATTTTTATGTGCCTTTTTGGGATATATCTGAGCAATTTCACATAATAATCTGAAATTCACCATTTATTGTAATTGTATTACATAAGCTATTTGATGTATAAATAGGCAGTGATGGTAGTACAGGGTCCCCCGCTGGGCCCCTGCAGCGTTACCGCATGTGTATCAAGGTCTCCCGTTTTGTCTTTACATGGTAAGAGAACCTGTAATGAGCGCCGCTCAAAACACGTTGAAATATGTAGGCTACTTTTTAATGTTAAAATGCATTTTACTTAGGCCTACAGGAAATGTTCAAGAGATTGATATTTCACCCATTCTTGAGAGTCGGGACAAAACATGTCCTACATAGAAAAGTCTAATTTATTCAAAACAATTAAGAAATTCTAAATGTTTGACATACTCAAAAAGTTAAATCTAATGGATTTGTGTATACCAATCCTATTTTTTAGCACAGATATTTACTTTTTTGGGGGATATTTGTTTAAATGAAACGTCTGTGGTTAGAAGGTCCATGTTATTGCTTGTGTCCTCAGCAAGAGGTCACAATATTGACCAGCCCCAAAAAACTTTAAAAAACTCTATAATTGTGAAAACATATACATCAAATAAAAATTCAGGGCTATAAATATATAAACAATGAATGGCCTGAACATCAAATAGCTTTTTGCCTAAAAATCTGCCTATCAAAGTTGTGTCCTCAGTTTCTGTCAACTCCATCAGATTATTCTATAAACCTCATTAAATCATGCAATATCATGGTCAGCTATATCCCTGAGGACCCCTTTTCATTTCCTGCTTCTGGTGAATGCAACACCACCACACATGGTCTGGTAAGTTTTACAGTTTTTGATATTTTAGACAAACAATGTCAATATTTGTATGGTCACAGCTGGACCATGTCAACACCGTCTCTCCATTATTATACTTTTTTTTAAACCATAGTGAGTTCAATTAAAGTATTTTAGTGAGATTATCAGGACAGCTAGCAACTGCCAAAAAAGTACCTAGCTGCACTGTACAATAAATGTTTTGGAGGGAAAATACATGCCCTTATGTCAACTCCGTCAGACGTCAACTCCGTCAGATTTTGTGTCTGATGGAGTTGACATGTAAGCTGATGGAGTTGACAAATCCACCTATAACCTCTTAATGTGCTGACATTATGCTATTTTTGAACATGGTTAAGGATAACAATGTTATTCCAGGGTCTTATCTGCACATAAAAGTACATATATAGCATATATTACGTTATTTTACCATATACTTCTGTTTTGTAGAGTAGACCATGGGCAGGCTGTCTGCTTAATTATAACTGTCAAACTTTCCCAACACACACACACACACACACACACACACACACACACACACACACCTAATCTCATTGATTGATTGATTGATTAATGTACAATCCTAAAGGTGCAGTATGTAATTTTCACTACCTAAAATCTACACACTGGCTTCTTATAGAGTGCGCAAGAAGTTCTATGTTGCTCTTTTAAACCCCAGTGTAGGTGGGATACCAGATAGAAGAAAAAGGTTATTATTTTTACATTGTTAACTTGGACCCTCAGACCTTGGGCTCTATTTTTGTGTCCACCGGCGACATGGCGGAGGGTGGCGAACCCCGCGCAGTGGCATTTTCGTCTGGCGGAGCTCAGCGTACAGCCAGTTTGGTATTTTCGTGGACTGAGGTGCACCGAGGTCCGCCAAGCTGGGCGTGGATGTGTGGCAGGGTGAGGTGTCCACAGAATCAGCTGGTGCAGTGACATTTTCGTACTTGTTGCTGGCGTGTAAAGTGCGCTGAAAGCTCGCAGATTCAAACCTGGTCAGCTTTCAGCGCAGGTGGATCCGGATGGGCTAGTGGTATTTTGGGAGACCGGCGGCATATCGGCCTCACCAGCAGGTTTCCACAGTGTCAGGAACATTTCAGTGCTGAATGGCTAACCTGCTCCGGGGCAGGTTAGGTTCCAGATTGAACTCACCAAGTATAAAAAACCCCACCCACTGACCGATGAGCTCTCTCGGAAAATGGCTTGTTCGTTCTTGGAGGCGCGCGAGAGTTTAATTTTTTTTTCTTAATGTGTCCCTTCGTCGTAATTTCGCTGGTGCAACAGATAGACAAGATTATACAAAAGAAATAAGCCCTTATTATTTTTATGTGCCTTTTTGGGATATATCTGAGCAATTTCACATAATAATCTGAAATTCACCATTTATTGTAATTGTATTACATAAGCTATTTGATGTATAAATAGGCAGTGATGGTAGTACAGGGTCCCCCGCTGGGCCCCTGCAGCGTTACCGCATGTGTATCAAGGTCTCCCGTTTTGTCTTTACATGGTAAGAGAACCTGTAATGAGCGCCGCTCAAAACACGTTGAAATATGTAGGCTACTTTTTAATGTTAAAATGCATTTTACTTAGGCCTACAGGAAATGTTCAAGAGATTGATATAACACGTCTGTGCTACTGTTGCTGTTAAATGACATGAACTGTTAATTAGAGATCATATCGTTGTTTAAATTTGCCAGAAAAAAAAATGCTTGCGATGTTGACATGTAGTTACTGTAAGACTGGTTTGTGCTCAAGTCCTATTTTTTATTTTTTTATACAGCTCCGTTTTTAACTCAGAATTACCGAGAGCTTTTCAGCTTCAAATTTGTATACTGGCGAAAAGGCGGAACCAAGTTGTCTATAGTATATACGTTGGTACCAACGGTGATTGTTTATGACTGGTCTACCACAAAATAGCCCTTATTTATCAAGCTTGCGTAAGGCAGAAAACTTATGTACACCTTGCGACGTAAGGATTGGCAGTTATCAATCTGCACATGAGTGTACGCTACGACCAAATCTCACGACAGGTCTGACATCGTGTAGGCAAGTTTGAGTCAGTCTGGATTTGCGGTGAAAACAATAAGCAAAAGCATAAACAGCCAGATATTCAGTAGTCATACTGATCATTTTTGTCATTATCATATTCACCCATTTTTTACGTATCATGAAAAAAAATTCCACTGGTCTGGTTTTCACAGCAGTCATAGCTCCAGCACACTGACCAACTTGCAAAAAAAAAAAAAAAATTCTTTAATTGGGCGATGTTTCAGTGTCAAACCTATATCAAACAAAGGGGCTCTTTTTTTTCCACTTCTTCGTTCCTGGATTCTGACACTTGCCGTGTCATCCTTTGACGCACCAGGCAAAATAAATTCCCCTCCTTTTTATGAATGGCAGCAATAGTAAAAGCCAAATTTTCATTCGGAGAGAAGCTGGTAAACGGAAAAAAGACAAAATTTCTGCATACAAGATTGCATAAAAGCATAAAATACTCTAAACAAACGGGTCCAAGTCCGGGCGTTTTGATTAATGTGACGCATCGATTTGTGTCAAGAATTGTGATTGGTCAGATGTTAATTCTCTCCCCTATTTAAACAAGAGCTTTGACAGTTGTCAGATCTCGATAATGGCAGCTTCTACTAGAAGAGTATGCACAGGTGAGATGGGAGCAGGGATCTCCTCATGGAGAGCAATGAGTGGCTCATCATTCACTTTCAGCTTCCAAGGCATGTCCTGATAGATTTATGCGACAATTTAGAAGCCTGTTTAAGGTGGGACGCTAGGTGGTCAAACACCTTGCCAGTGCCGGTGCAGGTGATCGTCACCATAGGGTTTTTGGCTACTGGGACCTTGCAGAGGGAGATTTGAGACAGAGCTGGGGTCGACAATAGCCACGTTTACATGCAGACTTTTTTCTCATTCGGATTATAATCATTCCGATTGAAGCTCCCAGGCGAACTGTTTACATGGAAGCGATCTATTCTGATCTGGTGTTTACATGTGCCACGGCATTCAATCGGAACAGCTATTTACAGACACGTGATACCTTCAAACATCACGTGATTGATTGATCACGTGATCTCCGACGCAGACCAGTGCATCGTGCTCTGCTTGGAAGCCGCCATCATGTTTCCATGTGAGTCATACGTCACTGCTTGTTTACATCAGGACAGAGCATGCGCAGACAGAACCCAGCCTGACAACTTTCCGATTCACCGTTTACATGACAGGATTTTGCTTTTAATCGGAATGGGAAAAGGAAAATTCTACCCCTGTGAATCGGAATGAAATTCCACTCGGAATGGGCCTGTTTATTCCGAATGAGGTGTTTATATGGAGCATTTTCATTCCGATTGGGCTTCTAATCCGATTATATTCGGAATATTTGGCTCCATGTAAACGTAGCTAATGAGCAGGATGATGCCAGATGTGTTGGCGGCCATCAAGTCCACTCTAGGAACTACATCCAGTTCCCCTGAATGATGCCCAGCAATCTGTGATTAAAAGGCAATTTTATGAGATTGCTGGGTTTCCAAATGTAATTGGAGCGATGGATTGTAGCCATGTGCGTCTGAAGCCACCATGCATGAATGATTACACATTTATCAATCGCAAAAATTACCATTCGATCAATTTGCAAGTCATTTGTGATGCCAAGCTGGCATTACTAAATGTGGTAGCCAAGTGGCTGGGAGGGATGCACGATTCTTTTATACTTCAAAATAGAAGTGTCTGTGCACGGCTACAGTCAGAGTCATCTCCTCGGTAAGTGGCCTGAATAAATCTGCAATAGGATTGAAGCAAAGTCTGATGTTGTCTGACGTTTCCATGTAGTTATTTTTCTAGGTGACAAAGGTTATGCCCTGACGGAGTACCTGGTAACCCCACTGGCAAACCTGACCACAGAGAGGGAGTGGCAATTCATTGCGCACACACGCACAGGTGTCACTGTGGAGCGCTGATTTGATCTCCTGAAGGGCAGGTGGTTCTGTCTTGCTCCAGCAGGGGGAAAATTGCTGTACACACCCGAAAAGGTGTGTGACATCAATTTGGCTTGTGCGGTTTTGCTCAACGTGGCGTTGGTAAATGGCGTGCCATTGGATGTGCCGGTGCAAAGAGAGGACGCGATGCCTATTGAACCGTGGCAAGGCGACGCTCCACCAGGTGCTGTACTGATGAGACGGCACCTGACCAACCGCTTCTAAAATGTTGGTAGGCCTTTAAGTTGAGGAAGTTCTGACTATTTAACTGATTTAATGGCTAAAATCAGACGAATTGAATTAAACTACACTACGGGCCAAAAGTTTGGAAGCAAGGCCATTACAGGCCGAACAGTTGGAAGTAACTTCAAGTTTTTGATCACAATGCTTTTTTTTTAAATCCAGCATGAGTTTTATGTATTTTGGGATGTATTTACTCCATGAACAGATGTTGCTTTCATGGAAATGCACCATTTTACTCCATTTACCTTTAAATATACATTGATGTCAACAGACCATGGCTAAATTTATGTCAGCAAAAGATAATAAGGGCTTAGTTTTAGGGTTGAAAACATTGGCAAGAGTCACAACTTCAGTGCAAAAGCAAAAAAAACCCAAATCACAGTTGGATTATTCACTTCTCCTTTTTGGCTTTTTTAGAGGCTGCATACAAAAATCCTAATAAATCTCAACTGCGTTCAAACTAGTGCAGAAATGGCTAGAAAGAAGCCATTGAATAAAGAAACAAAAGTACAGATTCGTACATTGAGGACAGAAGGATACACAGAAAGAGAAATTGCAAAACGCCTAAAGGTGTTTAACAAAGGAGTCCACTACACTCCGAAGAGACTAGAGGAACCTGGAAGTTATGATGATAGACAAAGGCCTAGATGAAAGAGAGTTACTACAAAAGCAGAGGATAAACATAGCATTGTCACCAGTAAGAGAGATCGGTGAAAGACAGCGCCACAAATAAGGGAGGAAATCAACATGACCAGGTTGAAACCCATATCTCTGACAACCGTGAAATGTCGTTTGAGAAAGGCTGGTCTGAAGGGTTGTGTATCTGCAAAAAACACTACTTCGTCCACAGAACAAGAAAAACAGATATGAGTGGGCAAAAGCTCACAAAAAATGGACTTATGATGACTAGAAACACGTTTGCACTTTTTGGTTCAAAACGAAGAGTCTATGTCCGCAGACAAACTAGTGAACTTCTGAATGCACCATGTGTTACACCCCCAATTCAGCATGGAGGTGGTAGTTCCATGGTATGGGGATGTTTTGCAGGTGATGGAGTAGGAGATTTGTTTGAATTAAAGGGTATCATGAAGAAGGAACAATACCACTCCATCCTCCAGCACCATGCTGTTCCATCTGGACTCAGACTTGTGGCCCATAAGTTTGTTTTGCAGCAAGACAATGACCCTAAGCACTCTGCCAAGTTCTGTCAGGGTTACATAGACAAAAAAAAGAGGAAGGTGTTCTTCAAAAGATGGTTTGGCCCCCTCAATCTCCAGACCTTTCTCAATTGAGCTTGCGCGGGATGAATTGGATTGATCGGTCAGAAAAACGCATCCCACGAATCAGCAGTCACTTTTTAATAAATTTAAGAAAGCTTGAAATGCAATCCCTGGAACATACCTTAGAAAACTTGTGGAACGAATGCCTGGTACATGCCAAGCTGTTGTTAAAGCCAGAGGAGGTTACTTTAAAGAAAGCAAAGTCTAAGCAACAATAACTCAGATACCTAATAATTATGGTCAAAATGTCTTCTGATTAATTACTCTTTACACAATAGTCATGTTTATTGTGTTGCAAATTATATATGTGTGAAACTGTGATCTTTTTTTGTACGAATCTGCTCTTGCTTCCAAACTTTTGGCCTGTAGTGTAAATGCTTGAAATAAAAAAAATAAAGATTATTATATTCAAGAAATTTTATTTATTCAAATTGTCATTTATTCTCTGTCAAGTTTCGTTGATTGCCTCAAGTGAGGTCACAACTGCCGCCAATAAACGGCAAATCTCCGTTTGTCTTTCTAGGACCTCCGCAGTGATAATGGCCCTTGCAGTACGGGAAGCTGGTACTCGCTCGCCCTCAGTGCTCAGCTGTCTCCGTTCGGGGTCTGGATCAGTGGGACCGTCCTCATTGCGCACAGACGTCGCCACCGTGCTGCTGGAGCCTGGCTCTGAAATCATAATTGAGGACAATAAAAAATGTGCAAATGTAAAAATTGGACTCCTGTTTTTTACAATGCAAGCAAATTAGGGCTGATAGTTACCATTATCCGGCTTCTCCTAGTTGCTCCTGGTGAGGCTGTCTGTGTCTTTGGTGCTCTGCTCTATTTCCGGTTTGCATTTGGCCTCTCTCTGGTGGTGCTCCATCTCACACTGCTCAATGTTGCTCTTCAGTATATCAACGTCAGTGCTCTTGGGCTGTCGCTGATGCAGTGAAGCCTCCCCTGCTGGAGCTCTTTGTGTCTCCCCCAGGTGTTGCTGATATCATTTTCTATTTTTTGCACGTACTCCTTTAGCACCATCTTTTCCTCCATCAAGAGCTTTTGTAGCCACCTCTTCTCTTCCTCATACTGGCTGATGCTCTCCCTCATCGTGTCTATATCACCACAGATCTCCTCCCCCTCCTCCCTCTTAAATATAGGCTTATTGCAAGTGTGAGCTTCCAGAAAGGGCATAGAGGGAGCATAAGGGGACTGAGGAAATTATTCCTCGAGCCAGTTCTGACTTCAAAAGAGTACATCAGTCAACTGAGACGTTGGACTTGAAAATTGCAGAGTTACACAAAAACATAGGGGCAGTAAACACAGACTTGGCACAGACTGAAGAAGTCTTGAATAAATATAAATAATACAGAGACATTATTGCCAAGATCTCTCTCCAGAGTCTAAATGACCAGTCCAGGCAGGGTGAGGAGTTTGACTTTGCACACACCTTATGTGATCCAAAGCACATCTTGGAAAAGACCTCAGATAATGGACTTTGACCTGGATTTAACCAAGACCATCAGCAGCAAAAATACAACTCTGAGGAAAGACTGCAAGATGACAGACACAGTTGTTGAGAATTTTACAAAGGAGCAGGATGCACATGAAGCTGTTCTGAAAAATATAGAAGATGAAATCAAGGGAGTGGTGGACAACACAGCCCATCTTAAAGTTAGGAAGGAAAGGAAGCTAGGAAGTTAACGCATGACACCATAGTAGGTGGTAGGTCCCACTGCTTCAACATTCAAGATAAGATGACCAGTGTATACCATAGCATAGATAAACTCTTGAATCTGCTCGACGAAGTTTCTAAAGTGCCCTTGGCAGAATTGAAGAAGGAGCAGATAGAAGAGTCAAGACAGAAACAAGAACAGGAGAGGCTGCGAGTCCAGAAAATGATAGAGGGGGAATTGAAATGCAGGAAAAGATTTACAGCTGGTAATAATAATAATTATTTTTTAAGTAGAAAGGCCATGCCTAGGTTGAAACTTCTTCCAATCAGAAATAAGAGCAAGGAGGAGCAGTCCGACAAAAATGACCTCGGAGCACTCATGGAGGTGAATGGGCTTTATTGAAGATGAGGATGAAAGGTGTGAAATGTTCTGTCTTTTGCTGCTAACCCTGAAAAGGCACAAAAACTCAAGTCTGGAGGTAGGGTTGGCAGAATAAAGGGCACAGAGAAGCATTTGGAAAAGAAAATGACCCCACAGCTCAACAGCGGAAACTGCTATCACCTGCCATCTGCAGAGGGCACACCACAACCCTTTGCCGCCAACTCTGCTGCCAACTTCTTAAACTTCTGTCCCGAGGACTCTCTTACATCCTTGCTGAGGAAGGCCATGACCATAGACTGTATATAGAATGGACGCTGTCTGCCTCCTCGCCGGGTGAAGCCTCTCCAAGAACAGCACACTCTGGTGATGGCGCAAAGCACTAACACAAGAAAACACCTGTGCTGTTTGACCCCATCAGTCAAATCTGCCCCTTTGCCCTGTTTTTCCAACCCAAGTTGAAGCCTTTCGGAAAAAAATACAGAACTAACTAAAAGGTAATGTATTGTGAAGAGAAGGTAATGCAAACAAGAATCCCAGCTGCTTGACATTTCACATCATATCAAAAATCTACGGAGCTCGGGAGGTGACCTAAACTTTTTTTTTTTAATTTGCACATGCAATTTAGTATCTTTATTTTTTCGTATGACAGTCGCGCACGCAAAATTTTGAGGGCATTTCAGGTCAGAGAGTGTTTTTTACGTGCTTCTAACTCAGTTAACCCTTGTGCACCCGGTCCCCTCCATTTTGCTGCAGTAGAAATATGGTCTAAATAAATATATAAAAAAATTTTTGGCTGCCATCATTGACATAAAACCTAATTATAAATAGCAAAACTTTATTCAGGTTTTTTATTTTAACCCCATAAATGTCTTTTTTGTAAAAACCCGATATTATTTTAAGTCAAAAAACACACTTGTACACACACACACTGAATTATTTTCCATCCTATTAATGCAAATATTTTTTTTAAACTTTTGATTATTAGAGCATGGGATTGGTAAACATTGATGAGAAAATTGATTTGAAAGGATTTGTATTTTTTCTGTAGTGTTGAATAATAAAAAAAACTTCAATTGACACCCCTAAAGGACTGAAACGGTCCCCTCCATTTTGCTGCAGTAGAAATATGGTCTAAATAAATATATATATTTATTTATTTATTTTGGCTGCCATCATTGACTTATAACCTAATCATAAATAGCAAAGGGTTTTTTATTTTAACCCCATAAATGCCAGTCTTTTTGTAAAAACCCGATATTATTTTAGGTCAAAAAACACACTTGAACACACACACTGAATTATTTTCTGATTGGTAAACATTGATGAGAAAATTGATTTGAAAGGATTTGTATTTTTTCTGTAGTTTTGAATAATACACACACACACCATCCATCCATCCCTTGCTTTTACACATGCACATCGATGAAGCCCTCTGTCTTCAGGTGCCTGCTATTAACCTTGCGCACTCTCACGCAAGCACGCACACAATCTCACACATACACACACAGACACATACACACACACACACACGAGAAAAAATGTAACATGAGAATTTCCAAGTTTGGGATAAATAAAGTATATATCTATCTATCTGTATGCATGAAATACACCAGCTCTGTAAAAAAGGGAAAACAGTGCCCCTCTGATTCTAAAGGGTATGGCAGGAAAAAAGAAAAATGGCGCCATCTGCTGGTCGGCATAAAAAAAACAAACGGTTTGACTCTCAAGGAATACGTGTACATGTGGGAAAAAATTCTCCAAAAGTTATACTGCATTGGCAGTGTATTGAAGAAAACATGTTTTAATGGGAGTCAATGGGACCGTTTTGGTCCTTGGGGGTGTCTACTGTAGTAATAAAAATTGCTCACATGCAAAAAAGGTCAAAGGAAGAAGAAAAAAAAAATTAAATTGTACCTAAAATTACACACTTTGACATATTTTTATGCCGTTTGCATCATCACAGCCAAAATGGTCCTTAGGGGTGCACAAGGGATGCATATTCTGAAATATCAAACAGTCATCTAACCAGGCCTCTTTGAGATACTGAAAAATACTCTCAAGAAGTTGCATTTATAAACAACATATTCATTTATCTACAGCATTTCTCCTCAACAAAATGATCAGTCACATACAAATATTTCTCCCTTTGCTTTCACTTACCCGGACATTGCAGATGTACGTCTCGTCAGTGGCCTTGCTTAGAACTGTGGTAGTGTTGTTTAGTTCATGAACGATTTGTTCAAAAGAACATAACTGCTGAGTGAAAAACTTGAATGGAATCACTCCAAGACCTGATTCATTCCTTTCTCAGTTCAGTTGAGCTCAGCCGTGAGTGTGGCGTGTCGGTCGGGAGTGGAACTGCTGCCTTTGACTTTTTGGCGAACGGCACACAGCCAGCCAGTGGGTGGGTGAAGTCTTGTGATTTGCTCACAGCGAATGAACGGCATGTATCAGTTAGACTGTGAATGAAACAAACGACTTCCGAAGGACTTGAGGCAGACAGACGAAGGAGGGGCGTAGCGTCATTCATGAACTGCTGAGCACCGGTTTGTTCACTATGTATTTATTTCCAATCTCTACACTTTTCCGCGATACATAAGAATGACAACTCGCTCTTGTTTAGCAGGCGTGCTGCTGCTGCTTGCTGCTGTGTTGTTTCACTTGCGTTGTGATGCGAACGTCGGTGGCTCACAGAGAGGCCTCTGAATATTTCATAATTTCGTGTTGTATATTTGCGTTGTTCCCGGTAAGGACCTTTACTTATGTTTAATTGACCATTGGATTGTTCTGTGTTACTGATAAATTCATAACCAGGAAGTATTTCTTATCTACACGAACTGATACACAGTCGGGAGTCCGCATATGGTGTTTTATTTTGAAATACCTGATGATATGCACAGTTTTCGTGCTTGACTTCCTAACTAGAACATTGCTGATCCTGTATGCTATAGCCTAGAGAGGAGGGAGATCGAGCAGCAGTCAGGAGTCAGGCTATGTGTGAGGGGAGAGAGGGTGTGTTAGAACATGATATCTATGTAAATAGATATCATGCATCCATCTAACATTATCTTGTCCTGGGCCCAGACAACACTGTCAGCTGGCCTGCATGAAATATCAAACAAAGCAATATATGTATATATATATATATATATGTGTGTGTGTGTGTGTGTGTGTGTGTGTGTGTGTGTGTGTGTGTACATATATTGTCAAGCATCATTGTCATTTTTATAAGGTCTATGTCTGTACTTTGACTTGAGTCCAGTCAGTCTGCAGGATGTGTGAAAATAGTCCAGGGAAGCGGAGTGGGTAGACCGATAGCTAACTTACTCACATTTGATTAAAGGCAGTAGTTAATTAACATATTCTCGCCTTTCACGAGTAAGTGACACATTAGTTGGAAAAATACTTCAGGCAAAATTTTGTCAGCACTTCATTAAACAAGCATGTTAAATCATGAGTCTCTATGTAAACTACTAAGTGTTGTTTTGCACTTCACTAGGCCTTTAACAGTCTCCAGTTACTTAATATTTTTTACATTCATGTCACTCCTTGACAGTCTGACAGAAATCAATCTCTTGATTGAATTAACTTGTGTTGAGGTCTTAAATTTTTAAATATTAGACCCACCCAAGACTAATGTGTTAAAACATGACTTTTATAAGTCATGTTTGGTTAAGAGGTGGTTATAAAGGGGGTTCTCATATGTGATTGGGTGGGCATTTTTATGATGTTTCACACTGCAATTAGGAAGTATAAGATGCAGTTCAGTTAGTTTTTAAAAAAATCAAATGTACAAAGCCATCACTACAATACACAATCCCTACCCGAAAACATGTAACCATTGATTAGTAAAAAGAAAGTCAGAAATTTTTTTTGTAGTAGGCTCCAGAATGGTGTTAAATGTGCATTTTGTAATCCCAGTGATTTGACTGCTGCACTGAGTGGAGTTGAAATGAAGTAGATTAATGTTCATTTAATCTGAGGTCAAATATAACCTCATACAGATGGGCTTGAGGAAGTTGGCATGTGATAATTGATTCCAATCCTCAGGCTTAAAACCATAATTGCCTTCAGTCTCCTGCTGGTGTGATCATGGCACACACACATACACATGCACACACACGCACGCACACACACACACACACACACACTGCGTCTCAGTCCCATGGTGCCTGGAGCTACGCCAAAGCCTCTTATCCGTTAATCAGTGTGAAAATGTAATCTTTTACCTTCAGGGTCCACATGAACCCTCCTCTCCTCAACTCACCCACCTAGAATCAAATGACAACCCCCCCCCCCCAGTATGGACCCAGGACCACCTCCCATTTGAGCGGCTTATCGTCGTCTTCATGCCAAGTACCTGCTAATGAATTAACCCACGGACTCATAAAAACACAGTTTGTCCCTGTGGAACCGCATTCATTACTTTTCCACTCACAGGATTTACAGCCAAACATGCTTAAATACAAGATGGTCAGGCTAATGTGAGCACTCACACTGGCACCGTATTAATCTGTAGTAAGTCCAATAATTGTAGCAGACTTCTTTCAAAGCTCATGAAAAGAGTTTTTAATGTTACAAAACAGACTGAAGCGAATCAAGGACCAGATTATTAGCATAAATATAGTAACCTTTAATGCCTGTCATTGCTGTTTTAATTTACTTATTATTTTTCCCGCAGCAAACACAGTGAGGGATAAACTTCCCTATAATATCAATTTGATTCTGTTCACAGGAGGCACCAAAGTCAACATAAATAGAAGGTACCATCAGGAACTTTAAATAGCAAGTCTTACCAGTAATCTTTGCAATGATATCACTGCAAACAAGACCCCAAGACACTTGAACTGTATCACTTGGAGCAAAGACTTGCCCCCATCCAGAGAGAGAAGTCCACCATCCCCAAACAGAAAACCTGGGACCTATCTACTTTTAGGTGCTGATCCTCATCTCAATGCCTGCTGAAGAGTCCAGTAAAACCACATCATCTGTAATAAGCAGAGACCCCTGGACTGTAGAGGATAAACTGATATGAAGGTGAGTTGTAGTGCTGTAACTGAAGTCAAGAAGTTGGCACATAAATATGTTCAGGGGTCAACCTTTATCATGTATTTAGGAAAAACAAACTGATTTAAAACTGTATGAAATGGCTACAGTAACTTCCTGTTGTTGTAAGAAAAGCTGCAGGATAAGCTCTGTCTGAAGTGCACGCTGTAAATCGCTAAAACTGGACATTCAACTTAAATTTCTGGACTTCCTGTTGAGATGAGAGAATGGGTCCAAGAGGAATTTTTGCAGATTTTGGTATGCTACACGTGCCAAGTAAATTTCACACACACCGGCTGAACCAGCTACAGGGGCTGTATTTTGGAAGGTTTATGGGTGCTATGAAGCAAGTGATTTCACAAAGCACAAAAATATCACAATTTTGCAGGACCTGATTTTTGCAGGAGGTGTCATAAGTTTCAGTTGAGAATAGCAGTTAAGTAATTGTTTAGGCAGAGGAAAGAAAGAACGACTATCCTTATAGCATAATTCGGCTGCAAAGCAATTTGTCCCAAGAAGCAACAAACTACTGTGGTACTGAAGGACACATCAGGTCAAACAGCCGAGCAGCAAGTCACCTTAAAAGAACCCGAGGAGGTCAGACGGATGTTCTTTGTTTTCTTGTTAGTATGCCAGACAGAGGATTGTGGCGTACTTATTTTTGTTTTCCTCTTTTTTGCCTTGCTGTCTTCACGTGTGGGACACAGTGCTGTCAGATTGTCGTGGCACGGGCCGGAGCAGATTATGTGTGTGCAATCACTCATTACCTCCTTGAGAATAGATTACTATTGCTCCGGTCCGGTGATACGGGCAGGGACAAGGGAATCCACTAAAACACTTAGCTGCTCTGCATGGTGCTCGGGCTGAGTTGCCTGTGCTTGTATATGCGTGTCTAAATGAATAATGTCATCTGATCCCAGGCTTGTTTGCTGCAAAGTGACATGCAATCGCGTGGCAGCTTGCTGTCCCTCTGCCTGCCTCACCTCTTTCATGTGTTTCACTCACAAACACAGTGAAAGGACATTAAAGCACATGGAGACACTGAGTTTTGTGCTGCAGCTGCTGGCAAGTTATAATCTCAAACATCCGAGGGAATCCTCAATAAATTCTAAGTCATTTGTTAAATCTGAAATAAATTTGAATGCATATTAAATATAATGTATTTTTGTCATATTTTGTCTGAACTAATACCCGATTATCAAAACTGTCAGGACATCCAGTAGAGCCAAGCAAAAATGTGAACGTGAGCTTTTAAATGTTGCTCTTGTTTGCAGATATCTGCAATTACTGGAAGAAACATGTGGAACAGTGAATTGAGCTCAGAAGCTGCATTAAAATTTGACAAAAAAAAAACAAACAAAAAAAAAACAGTCCTACAGTTGATTCGCTTGTCTGGGTTAGTACCAAGGATAAGTTACTAATCTAACTTTGGATCCGAGGATTGAAGGATGACAGTTACTACGGTCTTAATTAAATTACAGCCTTTGTTCCACCTCCTAATACCTTACGTAACCAAGGTCGTCCCGTGTCCAAGACCTCAGGAGGCCAAACTGTCGGCACTATAAAACAAGCTAAATTTCTAGCTTGAACTTTTTCCTTGAATACCCTCAGTGTTTCTGCTGAGGACAGTTACAGTCATTCAGATTAAGGTACAAACCTGATTCCTACAAAGCTGGAACAAAAAGATTTTAACGCTTCAAAAATAGTGCTTGCTTGTTTTGAATTTGATGCCAATGACATGTTTTGTAAAAGTTTTTTGAGGAGCATCAAAACGGGAAAAAAGTTGGGAAAAAAAAAAAAACGCTGGAGGAACATCTTGCAACAGGTTAGTAACAAGATGGGAAGAGGTTCTTTACTCTGTGAGAGACTGTGTTAGCTAATAGTTCAACAGTTTCAGAATAATGATTGAAAGACAAACATCATTCAATAAAGATGAGTGCAAGTATTGTTAACAATGTTTTGTCTGTTATTGATACAATGCAACAAAACCAAACAATGCACAGCGACAGGGGGTACCTGCTCTCCATGGGTAATGATTTGAGTAGATTAACTCAAGTAAATCAGTGTCCTACCTTGTTGTCTGAGTTGAGGTCAAAGTTGGAAGGCTGAGAGTTGACCTGACTTTTAAAATAGTGCAGGACAGTCTGTCTCCACGACTTTGTTATCAATAAGTCTCAGGGGCAGGCTGAAGGAAAGCTCTCGTCCTGTTTCAATCTTTGTGATTGTCCGAGCAAGGCTGGAACAGATCTGGCCTTCACCTTTTTTTAACGCTGGCTCTCTCAGTATTTACTCACATGTCACGTTTGTAGTCTCTATAACTTGAGTGAAAAACCTGACTTCAGTCTAAAGGCTCCAACGTGTTTCTTAAATTTGACTGTTTGCCAGGTGTGGGCAGTGGGCAAACCCTCCTGATCATTTTGTGAGGGACTGCGCACATGTAATATCCTTTTACTTATGCATATAACACTTTCACTAACTGTTAACATGCTTTCAGTACAGGAGTCACCTTTTTACTGTCTTTCTGGGAATAAAGTTGAAGTTTCCTCTTATTCTTCATGTGTAAAAAATGAGAAATTGACAGCCTGAAAGGACTCAGATTCCTCCGTTTATGCCCACTCTTTAGGGGCGTGTCTGGACTTTTTGGCTGGGGTGGCACCACTCGACCAGAGTACTTACACCTGTAGTGGTAGCCCTTACGTATTTTGTGGGGTCTAATAATAAGACAATAATAGCATTATTTTCTTGTTTAATTGGTGCATGTTTGAACCCCCCGAACATTTAGTGTTTACTCGTTTTATTTGTGCAAATGACTCACTCCCACGTGAAGTAATACAAAACAGGAGGGTTTCCTTTCATGCTGTTTCAGTCTGTTTTCATCAAGCATTGTTGAGGGTAACCACGTTGTGAGGATCTGTTGTGTTTTTACAATTTAACAGATAATCTAACCTCCTCACTCACTTTTCTCCCCTTGACTCGCTGTTGTTAATATTAATTAGCTGTATCCTAAATAGGCCTGCCATTTTTTATCTGAAATTCAAACCTTTATTTGAACTCCGGGGTAAAAGTTCATAGCCAAGCTCATGCAATATACCAGTGCTGCATGATCCAGCAGAGGGCGCTCTCATCGTAACCTGACCAGTCCATGAACTCTTGACCTCAGTAAACTTATACAGTAATATTATTCTGCAAAAATGGGGAACATGGCCAAGCAGAGCTGCACTGAGCCAGCAATCACAGCACCAAAACATCCGAGGGGGGCTGTGTGGAAATATTTGGGGTTATAACGGCAGAGGGAAAAATAAACGACCAAAAGATAGGGCTGTTTGTCGACTTTGTACAAAGCAGCTGCTTTGCTGGTCGATGATGAGGAGTTTGCTGTTTTTTTGGATGGCTTACCACTCACATGAAATGGTGGTGGCGAAAGAGGAAGCATCACTTTTGAGCGGCGCGACAGCTAGTGGTAAATGCTCGTTCAATGTGGACTGTAATGGAAAACTGACCGCCCTGGTCCTGAAGCTCAGGTACTGTTAAATTAAATGAACCCCTGCTGAAATGTTCTCAATATATATTACCCGGGATTCTCTATGCTGATTGGCTATCGTGGCACCATTGATTCACAGGGGTTCAGATTTTACCGCTCTCATGAAAAATGAGGAGAGTAGCTGCTTGAACGTGTCGGTAATTGTGTTTGTGTTTTCATTCGGTGTGCAGTTTGGCCTCACACAGCCTGTTTTTCCTTATTATCTAACATTTGAATTAATGAGAATAAGAAAATAAATGAACTGATTTATAGATAATGGGATAATCTTGCCCTCAATTACACCCTGTAATGGATATTCATCTTTCAAATATACTGCAGGGCTGTCTTTATCGTGCTTCATGTGTGTGTGTATGTGTGTGTGTGTGTGTGTGTGTGTGTGTGTGTGTGTGTGTGTGTGTTGTAGCGAGAGAGAGAGCACATCCTTTGTAGATTACTCTTAATGACTGTTGCTAATTCAATTTCCATCTCACACACTTTCCCTGTATGGCTCACGTGCAAGTTTTGTGTGAGATCATCGGTGCTTCAGAGCCTATCAGTGAAGACTACAGACAATGAGGATAGAACGACGAGCGATGTGAGACAGAAGACTGAAAAATGGTTTTGGTGGTGTTGGAAATGTAAGGGATGAAGAGGAGGAGGAGGAGGAGGAGGAGGGGAATAAACAGTGATGGAGAGTGAGTGAGAGGGAGCGAGAGGGGGGAGGAGCACAGAGATGATTCCTCTCTCTAATCCTGTAGACACACACTCGGTCTGGCTGCCTACTCGCTCAGAGGGAGAGAGAGAGAGACGGAGGCAGGTGGAGGGCAGAAGCAGAGAGAGGGAAGGAAAAAACCAAGATGAAGGGAAGAGAAGAAAGGATAGCTGCCCTTTGTGAACTACATTGAGAGAGAAGAGAAAGAGAGGAAGAGGAGGAGCAGGACTGGAGAAACCAGTGACTGTTTGGAGCTCGAAGAATGAGACTGAGAAGGACGATGCTTGAGTCAAGCTCTGCCTGATCCAAACTAGGAGAGAAGAAGAGGAGCAGCAGAGGAAGAGGAGAACGACAGGGTTGAACGTGGAAGAGGAGGTGATGAAGAGGATGGAGGAGTGCACAGTGAGCAGACACACTGATCCCTGGTTCCTCAGGCTCACATGAGAGAATACGGACGAGCCTGCCCAGAGTTACTACAAGATGCTGTCAATGGAGCAGCGAGTGAGGGCGGAGTGTTAGTGTGTGAGTGATGGGTGTGTGTTCACAGAAACAAAGCTGCTGCTTCCTGACACTCAGCAAAAGTAGACAAGTGCTCCAGGTGTGAGGCATCTGACGGCGCAGCTGTTTGGGGCTAAACAGGGTCGTACTCTGCCAGAGGAGGGGAAAAAGGCAGGTTAGCTCACCTGAGCACGTGCACAGACTGAGAAATAAACACCTGAGGGAGGGAGTGAGTGCAGCAAGGAAGGATTCAGTCTAACAGTCTGAGGTGCTGGTCAAAACCAGGTTTCAATTCAGGATATCATACCTTTCAACACTGAGGTGCCACTGAATTCCTCAGCTGCTCTTTGCACCTGACAAACCCTCTGAAGCCGCCGCCTACCTCATCTCTGCACAACAAGTGGACTTAAAGACTCAGAGGGTGGGGACTCTGACACCAGTTTTGGTGCCCTGCTGACTCCACCTAAAGTGGGGTGCGCCCTGATTCCCTGCACCCAGTGGATACCTCCAGACTCCAACCATGGGAGAATGGACCATCCTGGAGCGCCTCCTGGAGGCCGCTGTGCAGCAGCACTCTACTATGATTGGAAGGTGAGTTTTGTGTTGGTTGAGGGGTTCAGGATAAAGCCCCAAATCTGGCGTGATTATCATGCACGCTTTTAACAGTGTATGAGTGGAGTAAGACGTTTTGTCTGTGATCAGTTGTTTGTCAGGAGAGTGGAGCAACAAGGTGCAGTTCATGTTTATATCAGTGGACATCAAAGCATTTATGCATCATGTTGCTGTCACTGCCATTTTCTGCAGTGTTTTTCAGGAGCCAATCACATGTTGAAGATCCTAACCTGCTGTTAAAAAAATAACCTCTCAAACTCCCCCTTTAACTCTCAGGAGCATACAGGGGGCCCTGGCTGACATGCATAGACAGACAGGCGTCTGTCTCATACACGCATTAGTTCTGAAATGTACCAACATGCATGGAGTGCCAGTTGGTCTTACAATTTGGGTGCAAGCCCCACAAATAGAGGCTGTGGTTTCTGCAGGAGAAGAGAGACTTTGCAGCATGATTCTCTGCCCCACACATTTCATATCCCTCTCAATCTATCCTTTCTAATGAAGACAAGCCCAGTTGATAAAACTCCAAAAGATATCAGCAGGTATTTACTATTTCTTTTCACCCATGAACATCTCTCGGTCACTGACATGCTGATTTTACTTAAAATTGTGCGTGGCAATTGTTGTTTATGCCAACCGCACCCGCAGCAAGATGACGGCAGTCTATTGATTGATGTATGCTTGTTGCTGTGAGGTTTAATTGCATGTCTCCAAGGAAACCCAGCTTCCTCATCAAAACAGGGCATGGTGGCAAATAAAAGTATCACAATTAGTCTAATAGAAAAAGAAAAAAAAACTTTTGTTACATGTTGGCTTAATGTCTCTGCTGTGGGAGCTCCCTGCCTTCCCCCACACATATGGACATATAGACCCCACACTGTGCTTTGGTGATCCATGTACGGATATGGAATGGATGAGTGAGAGCACACCTTCCTTTTGCTCCATGTGCACACATGCAAAGCCAAGGCAGATTACACATTACACACATGCACCCACTAGTCTGGCATGCTTGTGTGGACATTTTCAACCACCTCAGTTTGGAGCAGACACCAGAGCAGGAAAAAAGTGAGTTGCAACATGTTTTTAATGCTGTGATGATAAACTAAACGAGCTGTGTCCGAATAGATCACTGACCAACCATTGCACCACCAAACAGAGGGGTATTTATAACAGAGAACAACACACATGCAAAATATAAATCCTCCCCTGCTTTCAGTCAATGCTTCCCTGTCAAACGTGGCTGATGACAGAGAGAGAAAGAGGGGCTTTAGCCTTGATAATCCCTCTGAGTGACATGATGGAGGGTTAGGCTGCAGCAGGGACACTATTAGTCCACACAGAGGCTTTGAACGTTTGGGAATCGGGAGCAGTGTGAGGACATTTCACCTTCCATAGTGCCTTCATTCACAGTTTTGAGCTGTGCTGCTGTCTCTGCTTTCCCTTGCTTTAATTTCACATCTGCCTCACGTAAGGATGCCTCACCTCAGCGTTTCTCACTATGTCCTTTGCTCTTTCTTCTCTCATGTATGAAGTCATTTCACAACCAAAAGAAACAAGCGACCAGCGCGAGGTTACGGAAATCATGATTAATGCATCCCTTCTACATGCTGTGATGTCTTGTATTTTAGTTTGAATAGTCGTTCTCATCAACCACAGGATGAGCAATTATTGATGAGCACTTACACCACAGAGGCACATCAGCGCTGAAGTTAGTAATAGTCTTGATTTGACATCTAGTAAAGGCCATGTTTGTAAGTTTGAGGTTTTCTTGGGACATCTCTGCAAACCACAGGTTCAGCACGGGTTCATTAAGCTCGGCTTGTATTAGCTGTTCAAACCGATCCCCCTGAAGCCACTCTCTGAGTGAGTCTCTTACTTTATCGAGTGAATAAATGTCAGCCAGTTTGTGAGGGGATGATGAGGAAGGGTATTTCATTTTGGCAGATGATGAGTCGTCTCCTACTGACGGAGCTCTGAGTGTGAATTTTTTCGTGATGAGATACAAAACTGATGTGATTTTGAGTCCTTTTCCGACAGAGCGCAGTGTGTTGGTTGCGCTGGGTAGTTGGAGTTGTTTCCCGTGGTGTTGTGATGAATAATTGGTCGGCATTCGCTCCCTCATTCATGAGACACTGCAGGCAAAGTGTCGCTCATCAGCTGGACTCATCATCCTAGCTGCAGGGTAGAAAAGACAGGAAAAATAAGGAGGAGATGCACAAATAAGAAAATGAAATCCACAACAACAGGCGATAGATAGCAGGAAGTAAGTTTGATAGCAGTGAGGAGAAGAAATGAGCAGAATTGGCAGTGAGAGTGCAAGTTGTGACAGACGGGATGCGTATGATGCGGTAAGAGTAAAAAAGACAGAGTGAAGGAGAGGGCAGCGAAGAGCAGCTATTCACAGACAGGCGGGCAGACACATGGTCTCTGTCTGCAGGGCGTTGGGAGGAAGCCAACAGGACTGTCTCGTCACGAGATGGTGCTGCATGTCATGACCTGAGCAGGGCGGCTGGGACACCCGGCAGGCGGCAGAAAGAGCCGCAGATCATCTTCTTGCAGATTATATCAGTTATCCAGACAGTTGAAATATTCAGATGGCTGGGTTGGAGTGAGGGTGGGGGTGGGGGACAAGTCTTCAAAATAAAAAAAAAGTCAATGAAAGACATGAAGGATTTCCTGCAGCCCCTGACAGTTTCAGTTGGATTAAGTCGCTGAGTAAATATAGGTTTGATTTACGCTCTGTCCACAAGTATTACTAAAAAATATCAAATCACTTTTGAAGTAAAATTCTTCAATACTATTAACAATAGAAACAATGTTTTCATCGTCCTACATCTGGGTAATGTGTATATAACCCCCCTCTGTTAGATGTTATCGTGACATTATAAGAAGAGGGGCCATCGATAAAAAAAACACTTTCAATACTTCCAATATTCAAAATGTTACGGCTCATTTGAAAAAAGAATAAAAAACACTATCAGTTTTATTGTTTTTTAAACATTGTTATCTTGAACCTGACCAGATTTCCACAAATGATAAATCCCTATAAAAAACAATATTTCTCACAGACAACAGGCTGTCCTTTAACTAAAACATTCTATCAACACTTTATATTCAGTTTTCTTCAGTAAGATTAGAAAACTGCTCCTTGCATTTTTCCAGCAGCGTGGAAATGAAAACATTTGCAAAATTTTCTCGTATATGAACTGATGTACATCAGACCCCTCAGGCGAGCAAGCTCATCCTCCTGCAGGGCGGCTTGCAGCTGCCACGCTCTCCTGCTTGGCTTGTGAATTGACTGGATGAATAAAACTCCTGATTTGTTTTTCATAGTTTATTTGTGGTGCAGAGGGGTGCACAGCAGCTCTTTGGCATTGTAGTTATGGTTTGTTTTCCCCCTCAGCTTGAACCCGATGTGACGTTTTGTGGGTTGTGTGTGTATCTATTCATTTATAAGAGGAGAACAGCAGTATGACTCCTGAGACTGTTGACAAAGATGCATCTGAAAAAGCCTGACGGGAGTGATTGCAACTGAAAGATAAGCATCACAATGTGGGATTTATGCCTCTTTTTCTCGAAATCAGTCGTGCTTCAATTTTTGAAGGAAAAACAGCTGAGGATTATCTTTAAACCTCTCAAAACGCAGCTGTGTAAAGACACAAATGTATACCATATCAGAGTGGAGTCTCATAAAGCATCAGCAGAAACTGAGTGAGATTGTTTTTCATGAATTTTTTAGTAGCTCCTCAAAAGACAGCTCATTTGTTGTTGAGACATTTCTCCAGACTGTTGAAGCGCAGCCAAGTGTGTTTTTAATGACATCTCTCCAGCCCTTCATAGAAAAAAAGAGGCATGTGACATCCAAGATGATGCGGCTCCAAACAGTTTTGAGTCATCTGAGTCAAAATAAGAGAAAGAGGGGAAAGGCTGAAGCCTAAAACCAGTCATCTGTTATCAAAGCCAAAAACCAAAGGAGGTGACGTCTCTCAAGTTTACGGCTGCCAGAGAGGTATGATAGTGGGCTAAAAACTTGCTGAATGTTGAAATCTGCAGTTCCTCAAATGCCCACCGGAGGCTGGCTCCAAAAGCAGCCAAATCCCCATCAACACCCATGTTATAATGCCAATTAATGCCACTCACCATGCCCATGTTCGATGCAGTCTATTCGTGGTAGCTATAACTGTGAAGAGTCACCTTAACTTTTATCCATCCTGGAGGTGTTTAACCACCCCTGCCATGTTGAAAGAATTACACTGAGAATAAATGTTTGGACTGCTAATTACCACCAAGGTTTATTTTCACAGGCAAATAATCAATCAGGTACTAACAACCTTAATCACTCTCTCTACATTCCAGTCTCTGCAGCCATTGAGTGCATTTGGCTTGCAAACGGACAGACCTATAGACTGTTTCATTAGGTGCCCTCTCTTCTGTCAGGCGCTGCTTCCTATTTCATTATTGGAGATCAATATCAGGGAGGCAAGAGGCTTTATCTGCGTGTTAAGCATTCCTAATGGCCAGTGGCAGTTTAGGAATGGGACTGCAGCCTGTGGGAGTGTGTGAGATAAGATATTTTTTTATAATGGAACAGAGCTAGATCTCAGATACGGCATGCAGTCATTAGTGTTATCACTGCAGCCTCACTCTCCATGCTCACTCTGCTGTAATAGCCCAGAATACTTCTCTAGCTGGAGGTGTTTCTCTACACTCATAGTTTAGACACACTACCTCACTATGAGCAAGCGTTATTGGTGCACAACTGTGGGTGAAAAATATGGATTAACCATCACAAACAAAAGACTGCAGCTACAACAAGCAACAGAAAGCAAAAGACTTCATGCAGTCAAGTGTTTTCACAGATCCACAGAAGAGCAGAGATGCACATGAAGGCCATGCTTGCAAAAGAAGCAGCAGTAATGGAGCATTTTCTGCCACTTAAAACAGATTGAATTTGTCTGGAGCTGTCAGAAATATCCATAGAAGAAGTGAATTTGATGAGTCAAGCCTCTCTGAAGAATTTCAATCCATTTTTGTTTGCTTTAACCTGTGATTCATTGTGAGTTAATCTGATCAAGAGAGAATGTCCTGTCAATTAGCACCACTTCATAAAGATTAGACAAAAATCAGCAAAGGCCTGGTGCCTGTCCTGAGGCAGTAAAAACAAAGAAAAGACCCAGTCTGTGTTTAAGGGTTTAAGGTAGTTCCTTCTCAGAAGATGAGCTCGGGTCCCAAAGTCTGAAACACTTTCATGTAGGTTTGGAGTTACACACCCCTCAAAGCCCATAACGACCTGAATTAATCACAGGTAGTAAGTGAACACGCACGCACGCACACACACGCACACACACACACACACACACACACACACACACACACACACACACACACACACACACACACACACACACACACACACACACACACACACTCCAGCACATGTGAATATGCAGAGCTAGTTCACTGAGCTGATGCTTCACTCACTCACTCGTATTTTTGCCTGCACTCACACATATCCTGGGACGGGGATCTCTGAGGCTATTTGTAATCTCACACAAACGAGTGTTAGATTCCCTCTAATGTGGGTGACTCATGTATGACGAATGAACCCGGAGCTGCCGGCTGTTGTCATGGTGGGCTCGTGAGAGCGCACACTGGCATCGCCTCAGGAGGAGAAACCTGTCCAACGCTACATCTGACAGAGAGACACCTGCTCCAGCCAATGAGATGAGTGAAGAGACGGCACAAGAACCAATGGGTTTTAGGATTGAGGGGGAATTAGTGCACGTTTATAAAATTCATGTCAGAGAGTGATGTCCCAGATTAGATGGTTCTGAGCTTCAGAAAAGCCAGATAACAGGAACATGCGGACTGTCAGACAGTAAGCAAAGCTAAAAATGGACGACAGGCTCTTTTCAGCCCATCAGTAATAACACCAAGTGATGAAAGTGCCTCTCATAGACAAATATTGAAAGATAAAACACATGCCGTATTTGACATCCCTCCTTTTTTTAAACTGGAGGTGTAAAAATACCCTCTCTTTTGATTCCCACTAAAAAAAGACCAGTGAGATAAGAAGTGATGTTTTATGGAGATTAAAAAAAAAAAAACACCCGATAAAAAGTGAATTATTTATGGAAACAGCCTGTACAGATGGTGGATCTGTAGGCTGAGTGAGCTTTAGGATGTTTGTGAAGTAGAAATCAAATGCATTAAGATTAACAGTTTATTTAAACTGTGTTCAGTGAGGATCACGTATAGTGAGCGAGTGGTTCCACATCCTGCTTATTATCCATCAACAGACTTCACATCCAGACAATCTGATGCTAATTCTGTTAATTATGATGTCAAAGGGCTCGAAAGGGTTTATGGTCACCCATCAGGAGGTATACTTACTGCAAACGTGTATGTGTGCGTGTAAGGATGCACTGATGTACAGATTGGCACATTTATTTGAAGTTTTACTTTATATAAAATTACACACTCAGATTTTTTTTAAAATTAGGGATATTATATTATGCTATCCCTTGTGTGTGTATTTATCTGACCTTAAACTAAAGCTGATACTGTGTTTTTTTCCCCTTTAATTTAAGCTTTGTTTACCCAGGTTAGTCCCATTAAGATTAACAATCTCTCTTGAGAAGGAGACCTAAAATAGAGGATTAAAAGGTCCTGAGAATGCAATGGATACTGCCCTTTTCTGTGTGATAAAATCACACAGATAGTGTGGTAGCAGGCCAAGACTTACCTCATTAATTAAGGTGTATTAACCTTCAGGGAGATGGCCTACTAGCCTGAAGGCTTATTGGTTAAAACAGGGTGAATAAATTCTTGTTTAATCACTCCGAAAATGTACCTGCATGCAATATTGGTTCAAGAAAATTTAAAACCCTTACTTTTCTACAGCTGAAGACGTTGGTTTAAAGAAACAGTTTCACGATCAAACAGGTAGTCTAAAGCTCACCGAGGACTTAAATCTACTTTAGATCTCTGCTGGCAGACATTTCTACAACAGCTGGTGCTCATTTTCATCTTAGCCTTGAGTCTCTGAAGTGGACGAGATCGAAATTCTTCTTGAATCTCAGCATGCTTCTACACATCATATAAGGTGATAAGGAGCGTGTGTGGGTGTGCTCTTATCCAGGGTCACACCTCACTCCGCCGGCTCGCTCAGCATGACTCCCATGAGCGTTGTCACACCGAAGCCCTTCACTCATCTGTCAAGAAAGCATATGAGTGTGTGTGCTGCATGTGTGCGCTCCTCCAGCACAGCACCGTGCACTGAAGTTTGCATTGAAGCCAAAAACTGATATTTATGAGCGCAGTGTGTGTTTGTTTACAGGTCGCAGCTCTGACATCACATGACCTTTAGATCATCATGTCTTTATGCAGCAGATTCCCTGTGGAGTGTTCACAACCCCTGCGGACGTGATGGATGGTTTTGTTTGCACAGGATGAGGCTTATCTTGCAAATGTGCTCTATACTCCATAAAAGAAGAAAGTGAGAAGGAGGCTGTGATAGGATCTCTCTCATGTCACACTCCCTTGAGAGATTTTAAAGAAGAGATGCTCTGCTTTCACACTCCCTCCATCCATATGTAACAACCCTGGGGATGCTTTCCTCTCTAATGTCACTGCCTCCTGTGTGCTGCCATAAGAAACTGGTGATTAAAATGACCTCACAGCTTCCATAGGGAGGCTGAGGCTCCCAGAGGGGGTAAGATGCATGTAAGTCATATTAAAAGCTTAGACTTTTCTTGCAAGCATAGAGCAGCCGATTAAACTTCAAGTTAGGTGCCAAATCTTTGAAATAATCATGTCAAAGGTTGATGCATTATTAAAGACGCTGCATGCATAGCGCTCATGTCATCAATGATAGCAGAACTGATCTGCTCTGGCTCTACTAGAGATGAAAAAATCCTGGAAATGAGCACGGGTTGGGTGGGAGTTGGGGGTTGGGGCGGTTCTGCGTTGCAGCTTGCAGCCCTTCAGGACCGGAGAGCTACAAACGGCCTCTACAGGGACAGTTGGAGATGCACGTTGAAGCTTGAGGAGAAACTGTATATAATTATGCTGTGTTTGTGTGTGTTCATTTCTTCCTTTACATCCACACACCCCTCATTCCCATTCTTGTTTCAGCAGCTTATCCCCCATTCTTGATCCTTATAGTCCACATATGCTGAGGTCAGGGTTGACATGGTGCCTTCATGCTGAAGGGTAAATCGATTAAGCTCTTCTTGCAAGTGGACATGAGCAGACATTATGCTGTTGAACCCACACCTACACCCTTGAGCTGTTTACAAACAGCCACATTAGTCAGTTTAACACCTATAAGCTGAATGACAGAAAGATGGTGGATAAAAAAATTAACCAAGGTGAGACTCAACCAAAAATGTCAGAGAAAGGGAAAGACAAACGGATAAAGGCAGGGATTAGTCCGAGTGAAGAGGTCAGAGTTGAGACAGATTTCACCCTGCAGTGCTTAGGAGAGAGACTGCCCTGTTAGGGTGACTCAGGAAGGCTTACAGGTTTAGTGTTCACACCTCGCAGGAGGACAGAGCAGGTCAGTGTCAGGATGATACAGGGAGGGTTTGTTTAACGTGGAGATTATCACACAATCGAAAACAAAGGACAAAACCCTGCAAAAACAGCATACAGGATCCACCATTTAGTCACACAATGCACATGATATATGATCTTTATTATCAATAAAGAGTTGCACAGCTGAATGACAGATCTTTAAATATATGCTACAAATTAAAGTGTCCCTTTAAATGTTATGTGTGGCCTCCATTTATTCAAACAGGACTAGAGCTGCCACATTATAACAACCTCATGACTGTTTCTTTTTTTAAAGCTGCACATATATGCTGTCAAGAGTCTAGATCCTTCTTCTTTTAAAGGTTCATGTGATGAGATCTTGCATTGTTGGCTTTTATTTTAAAATAAGGTAAACACTAGGTCCATTAACTACCAAGTTACTGGACTGAATGAACGCAGCTGAAAGAAAGTACATTTGACTTTATTCACAAGTTACTACAAATCGCTAAAAGGCAGCGTAATCTTCATCAAGTTGTCTGTGATCCATCTTAATATGTCAGAGCAGGACTTGAATCCACTTTACCTTTATCCATGCCTTTTACTTAGTTCAGGGTGCTTTGTCGAACATTAAGGCTGTATTACAGGAGGCAGTCAGCATCAAAGAAAACAAACAAGTAATCACGATGATGGAAGGAGTGATCTAAAGTCCAGCCACATACAACTTAACTAGTTATTTTAATGATAGCAAAAGGCAGGCTGTATGACCTGCTGTAAAATCCACTCAGTTTGTGAGACAGGTACATTTCTCACAATAAAAGTGTGTTTCTGCAACATCCACCAGCTTGTCTATCCCTCAGAGAAGTTCGGAGTATTTTCAGAGTGTGTCTTGATCCAGTCATTCAAAAATGAAGGTAATCTCTCTTGATTCATGAATAATGTTAGATAAAATATAGTTATTTCAATTGTATGCTTATGAAAGCTGCTATTTTTGTTTCGGTTTGTCAACCAGTCAGAGGCTGTATCTGCAATCTGCTAACCTGTAAAGTTCTAATCAGGAGCCACAGAGTAATGAAGGCGATAAAACAAAGTTGATATTGTTTGCAGAGAAAACCCCTTCCTCCTGTGAATTTGTTGCTGGTATGGTATCACCGTATGTGTATTAGTTTATCAGCAACAACCTAAACAGTACCATAAGTGCTTATAACTTTACGAACTGGACTGTGGTGAACTTCAGTTTCAGTTTCCAACACAGAGCTGTAAAAATCACTGCCCTCCCTGTGAACCTGTTTTGGATGGATCGATTACAGTTACTATAACCCCTCAGGAAAAGTGTCTTGATTGTAAATCCATCACTGAGAGCTAGGCTGTTTGTGTGAGTCAGTTTTAAAACTCCTCCATGCTGGTGTGTTCAGGGACCAAGGATTAAAACTCACCTGCCAAGCTGTGTGGCGTGTTGTCAGGAAATCAATACTTAAACACGGCAAAGTGAAAAGCAGTCCCTGCTCTCATCTGCATTAATGCACCATGATAACAGTGATGAGATGAATTATTTATCACAGGAGAGCTTTACATCTCAGGAAGACAGTTTCTCTACCTTGTTGACATGAAGTTTGCCAGGCATGCAAACAAGTCAAAGGAAAGACGCTTGTCGAGAGTCAGGTGAAAACACTTTAAAGTCTTAACTGGTTATCCCTTATAGTGTCACAGTAACCACAGAACAGCTGGGAGGAATTAGCGGACATGAGCAACTTAACTAAAGGGTTTACTCCAACATCAATCAAAACATCTACTATGCTTGACTCTTTACAGAATTACAATTTACACAGGGGACACAAAATTTAAAGTATGCTTTGGATGTATTTATAGTTAATTGACAGGAGATCTGCTAATTCTGCTTAAAGTTAACCTTAGATTAAGTAACTGTGGCAGAAAGGAAAGTCACCATGATCCAAGTCCAGTTAAAGACTAAACCCAAACACATCCATGGGTTGACTTCAAATCTTTAAAGGCAGTAATTTTTGAGTGATTTTCAAAGCAGAAGCCTGATCTGATCTTTCTGTAGAGACACTCCCCTTGTTGCTTAAATTCAGGAGCTGTCAGGATGGTTATTTGGTTAAAAAAAAAAGTGATCTGTGCAGGATAAAAAGTTGGCATAAATTGTGTTGGCAGTGGGTAAGCATTGTTTGTAACATCTGGTGACAGAAAATATAAGTCATTTGCAATCTTGGTTTTGAGTCAGATTTAAGGGAGATAGAAAGCTGAACACATTTTCTGCAGGTTAAATGTAACAGCTCCAACATTCAAATCACAGTGAGACAAATGGAGGACATAACAGTTAAAATGACATTTAAAGGTGTGGTAAACCTGCTGTGCTTACTCTTTAAAAATGACTCGACTTTTTGCTGTCAGATGAACACGCTCACACACAAATATTCAGGATAACATTAAAACAAATAGTTAACTTTGATCTCCGGGACGAAGCGAGGCTGCTGTGTTTGAAGTGTACTCAGTTGTTTTTTTTGTGCGAGCTCCTGGCTGTGTGGTTTTTCTCTTACTTATAGAAACTGCTTTGATAATACATGATTAAGAGTGTTTTCACTTAAAGACTGAGTGTTCACATTCTGGTTCGCTTTAGTTGATCAATATGTTCATTTGCGGACTGATATATCCGCTCCTCTGCATGTCTCTGAGCGTCTTATTCTTTCATATGTCGCCTCGATGCTTTATCAAACTGCATCTCCCTTTTTGAAGATGAAAAGCGTGCTCTTCCTCCATCGATATATCCTCCTCATCCTTACCCTTCTTCCCTCTCAGTGCTCAGCGCATCCTCTCTCTTTATCTGAGATTGTTAGAGCCACTTAGACTGCAGCACATCCATCTCTTTGAGCATGTTTGTGTTAGTAAAGACTGTTCCTCGGAGGCAAGAGACGCTGCTGCCGTTAGCCCGACTCCACATGAATAAAAAATCATACTAACACCTGACACCTTACTAAAACACACACCACTCACTCTGCCAGGACCAACATACCATAATGAGACATCTGATTCACTGCCCCCTCACCTGTGTGCACACTCATAACCAGATGGTCCTCCAAATATACAAACATGTGCGTAAGCAGCCTTGCAGCATGGTTGATATATTTACTCCTAACTCAGGGGCGGAATCATACTCACAGACACGTTTTCTCACACTTTTTCATGCTGCCAGAACCATCCCAGACTGCAGTGATGCATATGAGCAACCAGATAGAGTGTGACAATGCATTCGCACCTCCTCACACACACACGCTCACAACACACATGATCACATTCACAGTTTCTTTAATGAGGCAAGATGTGTCTGTTTGTGTCTCAGCAATATGCTGCATTCACGCGTCTCTCTGAGCCAATAATAAAAGCTGGGAGAAAGTCCTGGATCTGTAATAGGCTGTAAAGATTTAACTCAGTGTCACATCGGAGAAAATTCTGTCCAAATTTGGAAGCTTCTGGGCCACTTTAAGTCATAAACACAGCATATTTCAGTGACTTTACTTCTTAGTTTCTAAACATTTGGTGAACTTTTGCAGCAGAGCATTTAGCCTGACATGTCAGCTCTGAGTTTTGTGTGCCGAACACTTAATTCCAAACATTCTGGTGAACATTAATGCAACAGTTTGTGGCCAAATTCAATATTTAAAAAAAAAAAGAAAATTAATTACTAATATGGAATGAAAAATGAATACACCTTGCATGAATTTCATACAAGACCAAGACTTGAGCTCTGTGTTAGCAGCACAGTGACAGCTGCCTGAGGCTTTGCCCACTCATATATCTATATTTTGAAATGCGGTTTTTCTTGTCTCCATAAAAAAAAAAAAAAAAAAAAACCTGTCCACACCACAATGCAGAAATAATTGAAAGACCAGCATCAGCCACCTGTCACGCCAAAACATTGTAGAAGAAGTTTGTGTACATGCGTTAAGTGTCTCCTTGTGCAAGCAGCAACTGCAAACAAATATGTTCACTTGATCCTGCATAGCTACACCTTCATTTAAACCTCAGAGTACTTAGCACACCTGAACAAACAAGCACAACATGTCTACATGAGCCATGCACAATCCCATTATCTGAACATGCATTTTTATTGTGCACATTCATAGTCCCTGTGAATTTGCTTTTGAAACACATTACAAGCAGATTTCTCAATTTACTTGTTTTTTTCCATGCAGGCTGAGGTGTTACCTGCACTTGCATGCTGATATTGTTTATAAAGATATACATCTTTGCTGGGACACCTCTTAAGGGAGCAACTTTGTCATTACAGCATATTGCATTGTCCCTGCTTTTCCTCATGAAGGCACAGAAGCCTGTGTGTACCTAATTGGTTCAATGCTGCAGCTATTCACCGCAAATGTAAACCAAGACACTTCCTTCACAATAATCTTCAAGAATGAGGCAGATTAAAAATGTGATGTGCAAAGCAAGAAATAAAAGATTCAGATGTCATTTCATTCCAACTACAACACTCTAGTCCCAGCTCTGGATCATGCAGAAAGGAAATCATGTATTTTCTCTCACTGTAATTTTTTGGGGGGATTTCTGTTGGAACGGCCACAGCAGATTAGGAAAAACTGTATAAAAATCATGGTTAGAGCGTTTTGGTGGCTTGAGTGTGCTGGGGATGTTCCTGCTCAGCCATGTGCTGTCTGCTTGTGTGTCATGGAGGCTTCCTGCATGTGCCAGAGCAGCTGATTTGGTTGAAATCTTGGCACAGGATAGCTGCTGTGGGTGGGGAGTTGGCACGGATGCAACACTCCCAACTCGGGATTGTCGAAAAACCCACCGTTTTAATCCGGATTACGCCCATCATTTCCCCGCAGCGTGCACGGGTTTGCTGTATTTCCCTTGAATTGACCCCCTCCTTCTCTCCTCCCTGGCTCTCCCACACGTTTGCGCTCCTTCTCCCTCCTGCTGCTCTTTCTCCTGCTCATGCCTCACCCCCTTCACCCAACCACCCAAAAACCTCCTCATCTGTTGCCATGGTGACCACTTATGTCACTCCTTCTCACTCTTGCCATTGATCTGCGGTGAACCATTGCTCTGAGTAGATTTTAGAAAGTCTATTTTTAATCTCCTCTGCTGCTATTTATGTCTTCCTTCATCGCCTAATCTGTTGTCAGGGTAACTGCCGCCATTATCATCAGAGACATCCTGAAGTTCAGCGCACTCACAAATCAGTGCAGCCCATTTGTTAATGTTGGTTATAAAGTACAAAAAAATCCTCTTATTGTTGACTGAGCTTTTGAACATGTATGTGCAAATCTGAATTATTGTCTTCCCCGAGCCTCGTCAGGTCACATCCATCAACACGCCACTTAAATACCCTTTGTGTGTGAGTGGGTGTGAGTGTGTGTGAGGGAGAGATAAAAGGAGAGGGACAGAGCGATGGGTAGACAAGTGAACAGTATTAGAAAATGCTATTATTAGATTTCCATTTCAGCAGCTTACAGACGCAGGATTACACACAGACTGTAACATAATAGAGAACTGCCAGTGACCACCTTATCCTCGCAGCAGGGGTATGCAGTATTCACTGCGCAGAGTATGAAGCACGGAGAGGATAGCAACATGTCTGCACCTTTGATAAAAAACAAGATTTAACTCTAATTTCGAAAATTGTTAGTACGTTAAACAACAAAACAAGAGCTGTGTTACAGCTGGAGAAACATCCCCAACTAATGAGGTTCATTTACATGATATCACTTAGGCTTCAGGGAGCGCTGCGTTAAACAGGCAAGACTCTGTAGTGGAAATCACTGCATGAGTTCAAACTTGCTCTGAAAACCTTTGTCAGTGAACACAGCTCCTTACTGCATCAAGTTTCAGAAGCAGAACCACTTCTCAACAGCCCCTCTTCTAGGATTCTTAGAAAAAGACCACATTTCAAAGACCCCCATGTTTACCTCCAGTCTTAGTTCTTTTTGCCTCCAGCAGATGTCAACATGTGGGGGAAAATGACCACTGTGCAATCAAGGTGAATGAAAGTAACTCTGTATTCCTAACAGGTGTACACTATGTGGCCTCTGGAGGTTCTTAAGGCTTCTTAGATATTCTTCTAGGCTGCAGAGAAACTCTCTCACTGCCTCACCTGGAATAATAAACACCCAGAAGCCAATAAAACCATTATGACTGGTCGATTTGATCAGGACTCATCTTTGTCGTCTCCTCAGAGGATGAAACCAACACCCGCTCATGTCAGACACAATCGGCTTTGTGACACCCTGAACAGCTGGAGGAGTGTGTGTGTGTGTGTGCGTGTGTGTGTGTGTGTATGTGTGTGTGTGTCAGTGCACAGAGCGCTGTCCTCAGAGACTTCAGTTCATTCTGTTTCGTGAAAATTGTGTGTGTGTGTGTGTGTGTGTGTGTGTGTGTGTGTGTGTGTGTGTGTGTGTGTGTGTGTGTGTGTGTGTGTGTGTGATGGTAGGTGGGCGGCCGTGCAGGATAAAGGCCTGTCAGCAGGAGAGACTGCAGCCCCCTCACTCCTTCTGTCACTGGCCTGAAGCACCGGAACAACCCTTCTGCGTTTGTAGTGCATGTGTGTGTTTGTGTGTGTGTGTGTTTGTGAGGACTCCTGTGTGAGGCTGGAAGCAGCTTGGCCCCCGTTGACCCGCCGTGAACTACGAGCTATTGATAAACCTTGGCAAATGAATACACAGACTGACAGAGGGAGATTACAACCAGTGTTCGCCCATATTTGATGTGACAGGATTAGATTTGTCGGAGCTGCTGCTTTGCTTTATTCGGGTTACCACCTGGTATCCTTAAGACACAAAACACAGACAGAACGTCAAAACACTCAGACGGAAAATGAATTCAGGGAAAAGAGAGAGAGAGAGGATAAAGCTTGGGGGAAACAGACTGGGTGGCTTTCCTAAATCACTACAAACACTTTACGCTAAACACGGCTGTGAATCACACACTGCTTCACATCAACATGTCGTGATTTTACTGCATATTTTATCCTCTTCTTCTTGAATGGCTGGCAGACGGATGTTTAGAAGTATGTTGCTATTCATCTAAATTTTAGGCCAGGTTAAATCTATGACTACATTTGTCTGGATTTGCACAAGACAGTGTTTTAAAGATCGAAGCTGTTCATAGGAGGCAGGGGTAACCCACTGAAAATGTGACACACGCCTTGGCTGGCTCGTCATATACCACAGAAACTGGCTTATAATGAAGCCCATCCAGGGCTTTTTTTGTTTTTCCACTGAGGATCCCTGTGTTCAAATTTACACACAAATTTACAGTGTCATGAGTAAGGTCAAGTTTGTACACCCTAAAGTTTCTTACGTTGCTGTTCAGACTGTCAGCAATGCACAGAAAACAGAGTCCCTGCTGGCAGCCCCAAAAAGTTTCCCATCATTCCCAGAGGCTGAGTTGTCCAGATGGCCAGTGAGTTTGAAAATGGCATTTGTCATGTGATCATTTCTGTCTTTTTGCAGAAATGTAAAAATTTTCATGTAAGGACACATCTGTTTGAGATAAGTCAAGGCTCTTGGTGTATGCAGAAACCGATCGATGCTGTTAGAAGACTCTGGCATGGGAGACTTAAGGTCCTTACACACCAGGAACGATCCAAATAGGTCACGAAACTATGAAAAATTTGGAGGCGAATTTTAACGTGCCTGACTATACATATCAAGCACAATGCGATTTTGCGACTTTCCGGGGGGAAAAAAGACGCGTCCCAGGTGAAAGCAAGAAGAGTGGCACAGCAGCAGACTGACTGTTTTTCAGTTCTGATTAAACACCAGTGTTGAGATGGCTGTCTGTCATGATAGCATGTACTGAGTCAGGGCGAGTACCAGATAAGCACATTAAACAATAATCCATAAACGTAAGGTAACAACCGAGACCTAATGGTGTGCTAACAGCAACGCGACTGAGTTTGAGACAGTGAAAATACATATGGTATGTTGTATCTGAACAGGTTAGCTTACGAGCTAAAGTTACTTAGCACAGATAAACAAAGACGTTTAGCAAACTGTTAAAGCACACAAACCATTGTCATTTGAGAGATCCGACGCTATGACTCTCCATGTGTTGTCCTTCAGGTTGTTATCTTTGTAATGTTTGTGTCTTTTATCAAAAAGCACTCTGTTCTCAGACATGTAAACAATCAGCCAGTCGGCCATGTTGGATATACCTGTGAATCTAATGTCACAACAGCACGAAATCTGATCAGAAGTGGACACACAGTATGCAAAACTTTAGAAATTCGACCGTCATACGAAAAAATAAATGCTGCAATATTGCAGGACGGGAAAACGTCGCTGATGTGAACGCTTGTATTGACAGGATACGGGTTGGAAAAAAAATGTTGACGTCCAAAATAATCACACGAAAAAAATGCTCCCGGTGTGTAAGGACCTTAAGGTTTAGTCAGCCACACACCAGGTGTTTCTTTTCATCCCCTTTTCCTTTTAGACTTTTACCCCTACCTTTAGACCCACAGTTTCATATTTGAAGTCTCAACTGACCATACATGCAAAAACAAATAAAAGTGCTGAAAATTCCTCAGTGGAGAGAATGCTGTAAATGTTATCAACAGCAGGAACAGCAGCTACATATGAGGGTGTAGAAAGGGGGGGGAGGGTAGTTTCCAGAGAAAAGGCAGAGCATAACGGTAGAGAGCAGGTATTGATGGAGGCCAAAGGGGAGGCTCTGGGGGGATTAGCAGGTCAGCCATAACATTGGACTTGTTTACATCACAGTCCAGAGCAGCTGACAGACCCCTAAGCCTGTAGAGACGGAGCAGAGAGCTGCTTTTTTATGATTATCTGCCTCGATTCAATCCCAAAATCTGAAACACAACATGATAAAAAACATGAAATATGGACTAAGTATCTATATTTTAAAATGTTTGTGTCCTACTTTGAAACAATCCTATTTCTCTCGTTATGGAGAGAAAAATGGGAAAAAATGAGCTTTTATTGAAAGTTTCTAACTCTAAAAAGAGGTCAGTATGTTCTGGTGATCCTCATTGGACTGAAATTGAAGAAACTCCACCACCATGGCTCAGTTTGGTCGCCCTGATGACATAAATGATCATTTTCATAAACTTCTCTGCAGAAAATCATCACCGCGCGTTAGAGGAATATAATCAAGGTGGTCGAAAACATTTACTCTACTCCTCGGCAGAAACCCTTTGCTGCCTAGCTCCTCTCTGCCTCCCATCCTTTTCTGCCCCCTTGCCTGTTGCCGTGGTAACTAGCAGAAGGAAGCTGAGTGGAGGGGAGCTTACAGAGAGGGATCGAGAGAGAAAAAGGGGGGTTGTTTCAGGTTTCTGGGTAAAGAAACCACAGCTACTCTTCTTCCATCCTTCCCTTCCCCTTTCCTCCTCTTCCCTTGTGTTTCATCTCCTCCACCACATCCTCCAATCTCTCCAAAAATTAAAAACTCCTTTTTGATCCTGGGCCAATTATTTCCTCTGTTTTGCCTCTTCGTCCTAATTATCCCCCAATGTTCACCTTCTCCTGGCTTGTTTTTGTCAAACATTTTTCCCTTTCGCTTGCAATATTTTGGATCTTTCCTTTTATTCTTTTTGTTTTTAACTTTTTCCTCATTTTAATCCACAACTTGAAGAAAACAATGTTTCCATGTGAGCATTTTTCTTCAGATTTGTTGTTTTAACCCTGTAAAAGTCAGATGCAGCTCTTTCTAATGAGCTGTAATCAACTCCCACCTGGGCTCTATTTCTATTTTTATGCAGCTCGTCTTCCAATTAGCGTTCAAGTTTTGATTTAAGGCATTAAAATCTACACAATGTCAGATATTCAGCAAGAGAGAAGGAGCTGCAATGCTGTTTGGCTGCAAGTTAAATAATGCCAAGTGCATGGTGCTCCATTGTTTGTGTTAGCGTGTGTAATCGTATATGAGCGTGTATGCACATGCATATGGAGGGGCCAGATATATTAGGGTCTCCCAGGTTGTGTGCAGAAACCCTGATTATTGTTCACATTGCTCTAAACGTTTAATTTAACATTTTGACAATGAACTGCCTGTCTTATAATGAGAGCTTTGAGTGAACAAACGCCTCCTCATAGAAGGAAATCCTCCGCCAGATAATCAGGAAGAGAAAGAGAGGAAGGCGGCAGGTCGAGGGTACACAATTACTGGCGGAGCAGAGGCGTTTTGAGTAGAGCAGGCATTAGATTTTTGCATAATTACAGCCATGACTGTGAAAACACAGTCAACATATTAGTCAAAGGAACAACAAACAGGGTCTGCTGGGAGCAGAGGCTGCGAGAGTGCAGATATGTGTCTGAATGAAACATCGATACAGTCAACAGAGGGCTGATGAAACAATTGGTGAAATACAGACCTGCCAATACTCCTGACAGAAGAGTTAACACATTCTCAAGAGTTGTAATTTCTCCTTATCATCTCCCGATTTCATAATGAAACCAATCAAACGACTGGTCCTCAATCTCCATGTGGGATACATGTCACTAAGTCTGGTGACCCAGTACGACAGAGACAGGTATTTAGAAAGCCCTCTACCTGGTGTACAGTACACCTGCATCACCTCTTAATGCTGCGGCTCACCACTCCTCTTCTCTCTGCTGAGCCTGGTGCTGAAACATGCCTGGATCAGGTCTCTCTTCAGTCTTTTTTTATGTGTCATGTTTAATTAACGATATCTTTGTTTTGGTTGATGGTCAGTGTTGGCTGGTCTTGAGTGAAGTTTCAGTTGTGAGTCATGACCATCACTCTTTCTACTCTGGCACCAAAAACACAAAAAGACAACATTTAACACCATGTTGTAGCACTTTTCAGTTTCTTATGTCCCCTCCAGCTATTACCTTAATATCACTGTGACATCAGCTGTAGAAGGGGTCTCTTGAGACTTATACACTTTTTGTACTAGTTTGTCTAAAAGTTAAGCCTTTAAAATTGGGGTTAATGAGACATATTAAGGCCCAATCACAAACTGCCCCCTATACACTCGCCCCTACACGCTCTCCCTCTGTTTAAGCGTTCCCGTGGAGGCTCCACTATATTGAAGGCCGTCCCAAATCACAGAGTGCTGAGCGTGAGTGCACTGTTCAGCCCTTCAATAGCGAGTCTGCACCGATCACTCAGGCAGCAGTCGGTGCAGCTTTTAACTGTACATGATGTCCGTTTACTAAGAAAAGAAACGCTACCTTGCACAGGATGCGTCTTTGTGTTGCTATGGCGATGAATCTTTCTGTTTTCTGGTGGACTGAGGAGGGCGTCACATACCCGCCTGTCTTGTCTATACCCTCCCATTTCAATTGAGGCGCACTCCACAGCTGCGAGTGTAACTTCATTACGAGTGACACTCGGTAGTGAAGGGCGAGTGTGTAGGGGGCGGTTTGGGATTGGGCCTTCATCTTTGGAGACAGCCCTTAGTGGACACTCTAAGTACTGCACTACCACATTGGCTCATGTAATTAACAGAACAGAGTTTGCGTCTTGGTAATATCTTGATTTAATTACAAGAATGATGTCATTGTTGTCTAATTTAATAATTTTGATTAGAAACTTGATAAACATTTTTGCTAGAAATTTAGAATTTTTAAGGGACGAGATGAAATCATCCACAACATGTTGGTTACCACAGGTGCACCAAAGTCATCTCAAATGACTATACAACATTTCAAAATGCTTTTGTCAGTATGAGCCACAAGTTTAAGGCTAAAACAAATGAAATGCAACATCTGAGAATATGAAACGGACATGTAAAATACAGATTTTTTTGTTCAGCAGTCACGTTTCTTATTGATATTTCTTAATGTGTCAAAAGTGAAAGTGATTTTGACACGTTTAAATGAATTAACAGTTTTAAATATGTTTTAATTGAATGGAAATTGGCTGTAGACTGGAATGACAGTCAGAGTGGAACTACTGTTTTGTATTTGTGCAACTTCTCCACTAGAGTATCTTCAGTCCATTAGAGAGTGTTAAAAAAAGCATTGGATCAAATCTCTTCGGTTGGTTTCTGTTTCTATGGTGTACTCTCAGCACTGCCTTCTCTTACTATTCCCAGAGAAAAAAGTCTTCAGAGAAAACTGCAGACACAATTCAGAGATTATTCAGACTGAAAGATGGGGGGACAGGGAGTGAAAAAAGGTCCTGAGCAGGAGTTAAGATAAGAGCTAAAAAAAAGAAGATGCTTTGAAGAGGAAAGAAAAAACAGGTGGGGGTTGCTGTGTGGCGTACGATAATCTGCTGCTATTCGATGGCATTAACAAAAAAAAAAACCTAATGCAAGAATCCTCTCTTGGCCCAGCCACAGATTACAGCAGTGGGTTTGCGTGTGCAAGCTATTATATAATTCATTCTCTGTGATGAGATTTTCCTGCGTTGCTGGTTTTCCTACTTTCCCTTTCTATCTCTGGCGCGCTGTCCGAGAACTGGCAGGTTTGTCTTTTAATTTGAGGGGATCACCGAGCTGCAGTTTTTTGGTGCCTTATAATCTTTTTATCCCTGTCTGGAACTAATTCATCTTGAACCGTAAATTGACATCTTCTTTCAGTGCTTGGTTAGTCTGAGGTTGTGTCCACTCTCCGTCTGACCACTGCTTTGTTGCATAGATACATACATACAGAATATATACGTGTTCACATATGTGCTCATTCAGTGCAATGCTGCCTCGATAGGGCATTGTAAATTCTCTACTCTCTAAGCTCCTTAATGGAGTCACTACAAGGGCAAATGCATTTTCATTGTTTTTGCATATATTTCCTCCCTGCACATGCAGGCTTATCACAGGTGGGAGGATTGGAAATAAGTCTTTTATTTTCATTTTGCGGTCATCAGTACTGACCTGCAGTTTTGATGAGAGGTACATGTGAGCCACATGCTGTCAGACTCTGAAAAGGATTAACGCTGCCCTCTGACTCCGCACAAGACTGGCAAAGCTGCGGCGCGATTGGTAGATTACCCTTCACACAGCCAAATGCCATCTAATGATTATCTGCTAACATCTAAAGTGCAGTGGAAAGCCCCCCTTACCCATTCTGGATCCACTGCCTTGTCACAATGGGGTCCAGATAAGCACCACTGTGGCATTTTTTTATTTTGCATATAAAAACCCACACTTATCTCGAGGGGTAGGTGCAGGTGAAACAGAGAGAAGAAATTGCGCAACAAAAATCCCTGGATGGCTGATAATCAATTCTCCATGAAGCTTAAGGACACTAAGATATTTACCCTGGAGTTTAATACACAAGTATAATAAAAACAAGTACAAATGTATCCCTTTTAAAGGTGCTGTAAGCGGGGAGTAGCAAGAGGGGTGAGCGAGGGAGTTCTGTGACTAGATATTATAGTGGCTAAAAAAAATATTCTTACTCTCTTTTAATCCCGTCTTCGCATCGACTTTAGGTGAAGTTAACCTGTGCAAATGATTTGATTCACCTAAAGTGAATCAAATCACCTAAAGATTAGGTGATCCTGAGCAGGATAATTCTTACGAATGTGTTTAATGAGAAACAGCGTACTGATATTTATCTCTAAGAAAGTAGTGCAGAGTGTTATCGCATCTGAGACTTTCAACAGGAAACAGTTATTTAAACTGTGAACAAAATGGCCAATCAAAGCTTTTAAGCTGGATATGTATTTGTCACCACGCAACAGTATTGGTAAATGCAGTGTTTTCTCAAACTTGCACATGAAAGCAGCTAAGAAGTTTCCAATTTCTTCATCTTTGGCTGTGAAGCTTCATCTCTTTAAATTTAGACCCTCTGTTTCATGCACAGTGACATTTTTCAGGGAGAAATGCAGCGCCGCCCGTCAGCACTGCCCTCAAAGCCATTTTTACAAGTCAGCATCTATTGACTTGTATGCAAACCCCCTTCATAAATCCATGATTAATGTAATGGGGTCAGGTTTTGATGGGCAACTGTAATGATGAATACTCTGCCTTCATGTGGAGTAATGACAGTGATTTATCATTTATGGGATTATCATTAATATAAATGTAGGCGATTAGTGAGAGTTGATCTCACAGTGTGCAGGAGTCGGTCTGAAGTCGGTCTGTCGGACGATGATGTGAGGCAGCAATCAATCAACAGATTAACGGCAGAGTCCAGGCCTGTCTGCAGCCTGGACCCAGTCTTTGTTTGCTTACACAGAGCGAGACAGCCAATGGGTTCATAGACCGCAAAAAGGCTGCTATCTAAAGTGCTTGCTTGGTCTGAGATCTGAAAAATAAATGAGCTATGAATAAAGTACAGAAAGAACAAAGAGGGAGATGTCTGCAAGAAAAGAAACAGCACAGGGGTGTGCAGATATGTTATGTTCGCCTAAAAATAGATGCACATTAACATGCACGCACAGTGAATCGAAGTGAACCTAATTTCAGCACAAAATAACGTCAGCACATCCTTCACTGAAGCCCACGCAGACATGGTACCAAACCTGCAAATAATGTAGAACCCAGTCTCACCTGTTGCCATGGCAGTGAAGAAGAGAGACGACCTGTAGCCTGGTGTTTATAACGGCAACAGCAGGTTGTGCACGTGTGTGCGCAAGCATGTGTCAAAAATAATTACACCTCTGATTTAAGTGACTCCGAGGTTGCTGTGGTAACAGGGCTTAATGATGCAGAAGACACCAAAACTGGAGGAGAAAGTCCTCTCACATGTTTTTACCTCCTAAGACCAGCACAAAAATACACACACACAAACACACAATCCTGAACCACAGATAACAGGCTGTGAGTTATGAGCGCTGACGACACATTCAGGCTCCTCTCATAACTGATCGTCCGCTTCTGTGTTCGCTCACGGCTGATGGATGAGATCTGGAGCGCTATTCTTCTCTGCTTCTTATCGGGAGAAACACACGAACTTCACAGTAACACAGTGTTTGTCTCTAACGCCGTGCAGCGTTGTGTATTAAATGGCTCTCTGCCCGTCTCTCACTTCCGATTTCTATTAAAAGCAGCTCTGATTCTTTTCAGAGACACCCTGCTGTGATTTCATTTTCCAATCCCTCCTCTTGGACGAAATTCTCTCTTATTTCACTCATGATTGTGCGCTGCATCAGATTTCCTTTCTATTACCCTCTTAACTCCCTCACACTTTAAGTACATGTTTCCAGGGCAAGTGGTTCACAATATCTCCCTTTAAGTACTTCAACCTTCTCTAAAAAGTCATTTTGACCAGTTTATCAAAGCCACTTTTAACAGTGAAAGCCATGCATTTCAGGAGAGAACTGGTCATTGTATTGTAAGTAAATTACATGGCTTGCTGCCTTAAAGGAAATAACGCATGAGTTTAAGTCATGGCAGTAGGTCCATGCTTTGCAATTTTCATTCATTCTTGCTGTAAATCGAGCTCACATGTACCTGCAACTAGCAGAATAGTACAAACTGATTGTTCAAGGGGCCCCCCACTCTTTCTCCAAGTTTCCTGCTCTACCCACTGTCTTATCCTCTCAGTACAAGCCCAAAAATACGACTCAGGGAAAGGACAAAAGTTCTCGAAAAAGCTACACAGCTGCATATTTATAGAACATTGCTGAACACCCTTGAAGATCCTTGTCAGGATGTCTGATGCATTGTGACGCAGTGAACCACCTGTGTATCTGCCTTTTAACCCCCGTTCTCTCCCTCTTTCTCTTGCAGGATCCTCCTCACAGTTGTGGTGATCTTCCGTATCCTGATCGTGGCGATTGTCGGGGAGACGGTGTATGAGGACGAGCAAACCATGTTCATCTGTAACACTCTTCAGCCAGGCTGCAACCAGGCCTGCTACGACAAAGCCTTCCCCATTTCACACATACGTTACTGGGTCTTCCAGATCATTCTGGTGTGCACGCCCAGCCTCTGCTTCATCACCTACTCTGTCCACCAGTCGGCGAAGCAGAAAGACCGGCGCTACTCCTTTCTGTACCCCATCATGGAGAGGGACTATGGGGGACGGGACGGGGCGAGAAAGCTTCGTAACATTAATGGTATTTTAGTTCAGCACGGCGGCGATGGTGGAGGAGGGAAGGAGGAGCCGGACTGCCTCGAGGTGAAGGAAATCCCCAACGCCCCACGTGGCCTCACTCATGGAAAGAGCTCCAAGGTGCGCCGCCAAGAAGGGATCTCCCGCTTTTACATCATCCAGGTGGTGTTCAGAAACGCTCTGGAGATCGGTTTCTTGGCAGGCCAGTACTTTCTTTACGGCTTTAGTGTCCCTGGGATCTTTGAATGTGACCGCTACCCGTGTCTGAAGGAAGTGGAGTGTTACGTGTCCCGTCCCACAGAGAAAACAGTTTTCCTGGTCTTTATGTTTGCGGTGAGCGGCATCTGCGTGGTCCTCAACCTGGCTGAGCTCAACCATCTGGGCTGGCGCAAGATCAAGGCTGCCATCAGGGGCGTCCAGGCCCGCAGGAAGTCTATCTGCGAGATCAGGAAGAAGGACATGGCACATCTGTCCCAGCCGCCCAATCTAGGACGCACACAGTCCAGTGAATCGGCGTATGTCTGATGAAGAGAGGAAATGAGGATGAGGAGGATGAATGTGCAAGAGAAAATGAATAATTATGATTTTAATTTAATAACAAGGAAGGTGAGGTTGAACGATACGACCTCTCTTCTGAGCTTATAGTTGTGAAACAGAATGTAAAGACAAAACCTCTGGTTTGAGGACTTGAAGAGTCAAAGAAGGAGGGAGAAAAAGACGATACAAAACCAGAGAAGAATTCATAGGACCAAAAGCTCTGCAATCTGCAGATGAACACATTTTGATCTTTCAAGGAAAATATCCAACTGCCATTTTATACTTCAATCTTTTTTCGTTTGACTTTTCAGACCCTCTCCCCCAACTCTTTCCTTCAAAGTGGGAAACTAAATCCTCAAATGGCAAACAGGGAAAAACTAGGGATGAGGAGAACCCAGGACGGGAGTGGAGAGGCTGTTTAGTGTTCTTTGGGGATATCTAAAGATGACGGCAGTGTTTAATGCATTACATGGTGCTTTTCTTCTGGACTGTGTCAGCCTCGGTGGGAAAAGGATAGAGGGGGTGGGACAGCGAGGATGAGCAGCGGGCATCATTAAATGAGGAACGGAAGGACTGTCAGAGCTGTGATGGACCGGGGAGGGAGGTGAGTTTGTGAGGGTTAGAGAGGAGACGTCATGCTCTACAGAAAACAAGTGATACAACCAAGAAGAGTTTTTTATTTTGTTTCCTTTCCACACCGGAGACTCAGTGTGGACCGAGGCCGAGAGAGTGGGCTGCCTCTGATCAGTGTCAGCCTCGCCTCTGCTGAAACGTCGTCCAAGCCAAAACCAAGAGAAAAAGACTGACGATGTTTACGCTTTGTCTCCTGACAGACGATGGTTTTAACACAAACAGGAGTGAGCAAGTTCTATAAACACTTATCCTCTATCTCGCTCTCTCTGCCCCGCGGTTGGCAGCTATAAAGATCCCAGGGACTTGGTATGACAGTAATGACCCTTGCTGCGCTCCTTCTGCGAAAACTTTGGAGAGGAACTAACAGACTAATGGACGAGCAGAGAGTAAACATCAGCCTCTCCTGAAGCACAAACCAAATGAGCCTCTGTTCAGCTGAGGAAGGAAGGAAGGAGCGGCGGAGGAGAGGGAGAGAACAGGAGGAGAACAGATCACTTTATTACTTTACAAATTTTATAAAATATATCACCATAAGTAATGCTTTTGTTTTTTTTTCTTTTTTCTTTTGAGAAAGCGATGGTGCCATCCTTAAGATATTTAATTATTGTTGAAGAGTTACATAGAGTATATCATGGTAAAATATTTATCCATTTAGAGTATATCCAGATAGATTTTATTTATCTTCTCGGGGCGGGTTGGTCGGGACATCATGTTGCTGTTTTTTTTTAAATGTATAAACTGTCTGTCTTTTTTCATTTCTGTTTAGTTTGAAGGATTCTTCACTGACGTGTTTGGGTTGGGAAAGGAACAAGTGTGTGAGCTTTGTTCTGAAACACAATGAGGCTGTGCAGCTGATTTTTTTTATATGTAGCTTTTTAGGAAATCTCTCAACACTGTTACTTAACTGCATTTAATATGTAAAACAACACTGCAACTGTACTTTTTTGTGTGTTTTCCACAGGGAGCCTTGGTTTTTTCAAAATCAGCTGCACAGCTTCAGGCCCTGGAGGCCTGTGAGCCATTAGAAAAGGCATGTTTACACGGCGTGATGTTTCTTGAATGATCAAGCAATGTAATGATGAGTAGTTATTCTATAGGGACAGTTGTGTTCTTGAATCTCAGTGGTTTCATTTTGCATTTCTTTCCTGACTGGATTTCAACATGCATGCCTTGTAAGAGAAAAGAATGACATGAAAGAAAATGATAAAGATGACGGGAGTGTTGCACCTTGATTAATGCGGACGAGTGGGAGAGTGGCGGACTGGAGGAATTCGTGATGGGATCACACGGAAACTGATGCATCATTTACTACATGAAGCTGTCGCACTGCGGGCATGTGGAACCAGACATTTCAGCGGATTGCATTTGGCATCTTAATTAAATTATTAAACCGATATGAGCACACACAGAAACACACACAGGAACACACTGTACCTGCACCGTGCTGTCAAGGGTGTGTTCAGACCTTTATGACAGGACACCAGACTTATTCAGGGGTGGCATAAAGTAAGCATGCACAACCACACAAATAAACAGCCTTTAGTTCCCATTTCTATCTCTATGAAACATAACTATTTCTGCCTGCTAGGGACATGAATGAAGAAGTTTAATTCTTCAGGGCGGCACAGCAGTAAAGGTGGAGGGTCTGTTGCTTTATTTGCTGTCTTGTTTTTGGCAAAAGCACACTTAAAAAATGACTCTTTTTTTTTTTCCACTGAAAATCTTGCCAGAGGGATAAAAGGTTTAAACTGTCTTCCTGCAGGAACACACACACTGCATTCAGCAATATGCCCTTTTCCTGCAGACGTGTAGCTCAATGTGGTTCCATTTGTTACCACCAACCTGCAAGCTATCTGATTTTGGCCGAATGTGGCAATACTAACTGTGAGATACAAACTCACCCACTACCTACGACTAATCCAGCGAGACCTGCGCCAGCTCCCTCTGCTGGTAGCTTGTTGTCTTGAATTAGTGGAGTCGTTCCAATCAAACCAGTTCAGAATTTTACAGTATTTTTGACAGCTGGTGTGCAATGATGTTGCTTTTTCTCTAATGCACTTGTCTTATGAAAAAGAGTTCAAATTTAGAGTACCAACAAACGCAAATGTGCAATTTTCAGTGCTACCTTTGACCAATCATAGCTTAGTACTTTCAGATATCAAGGGGGCCCATGCCACCCTTCGCCACCCTCCTGGACACACCCCTGTTCCTCCTCTGTGAGGACGAGGATCCTCTGATGACTGTGATGAACCAATAAAACTACAAAGCAGTTTGAATGCTGCTCTTTAAATCAGATCGTTACTGACGTGCAGGAACATAACTGATTAAAATCCGATCCAGCTCATGAATCTCAAACACTGCAAACTTAATGGCCTTATGTAGCTTGACACTGCAGCAGCTCAGCACTGCCATAATATGGGGTTTGATTGAGTAATGCACTAATGCTACTCTCCCCCAGAGTTCCTACAACACTGCATCAACTCATTAGAAAAATGCACATATACTGTACATCACATTTGAAGCTACAATAGTTAGTGTATTGCAATGTCAGCTGTGTGAAATTGGGTAAAAATCTCTTTGTAAATAGTGTTTTATGTAACTTATTGTTTAACTGATTTATTCAACTTGCCTTATCTGCTTGTACTTGCTACATGCCTTTGGACAACTCCTTGGAAACTTGGTGTAAAGCCGTAACATAGACAGGTAGTGAAAGAACCGTGAGTCAACATGACCTCTTCCATAATAACAAAGACAAAATTTAACTTTTGACAGATACTCCTTTCAGCAGATGACCAAAGCACCACTGTAAATCAAAAGGGAGGGAAGTGTATGTATTCAGATACTGTAGAGGCTGCTCTGCAAACACCCAGACATGACAGGACATTATGTAACAGCCTGTGGAGGATAAACACACGTTCTCCAGAGCTGCAGATCGCCTTGAGTCACAACAGCCGATGTATGAGATCGATCCATCAAACTCTCTCCTTTATTCACAGCCTTTGTCATAATCTCCATGATTCTTACAGGTGATTATCCCCAGATTTAGACTCCTCTGGGGATCTCCCTGGCTCAACAGAATCCTTCATTGTGTGCACCGAGAAGGACAAATATGCTCACAAGGCACGCCAGAGCGTCTAATACCACCGGCTAAATCACGGCTTCCTTCATTTACAGAGACCCTTTGCTGCTAGCGAGGGCTTAAACGCTGACCTTGAGCTGTAAGGCCAAGCCGATGTCCTGTGCTATACGCAGTCACTGTGAAGAACAGATCTAATCTCCACAGGGAGCAGGTCAATGCGGTGTGAGGCCTATTTTTAGTGAATGGTACTTACAAACATGCATAATATACATCCATTCTGAGAAAAAACAATCCTTGGTGGGCGGTGGTTAAATTTGCGTTCTTCCTGTTGGACTCTGCCGATGTGTCTGGTTTCATTCAGGTTACAAACACACAAACAGTGTGCGGATGTAGACGGCCATAAATGTGTCCTGGTCTTCTTCAGTTTACATTCATCCAGCGTTCAATCGTGACTCACGGCTCCTGAAGTTTTACAGTCGGTGGGTACACAGCTTTCCAAAGAAGAAGCGACCCAGCTTTTCCGACAGTCCACCACTCCCCCACCGTCTCTTTTTTTTTCTATTTGTCAATGTGAAATGAATTATGCAACTTTTTTTTTCTCTTTTTGACTTGTGGATTCATTTTGTTGTCTGTTGCTCTTTTTGTGCAGTGACATATCAAAAAAGAAAGATGTTTTTTTTTCTATGTAAAGGAACAAAAAGTTTTTTATGTTTAAAATCAAGGGTAGAAAGTTGAAATATAAAACTAGCAGAAAAAAAAGAACTAATATTTCTTCCCTTGCCAAAGTGATATGCAAAATTACATTAATTTTCAAAGATTTTTTAAATGCATGTGTAATGGCTATAATAGCATGTTTCTATGTTTTCTTCAACAGAATCTTTACTGAAAGACTTTTTTAGTTCAAACTGTGGAGCGAAGCTATTACGTCTTGATGCCAAGTGTGATTTTTAACAACCTAGTTGTTCAGATGGTACAGATCCAGGCAGATTAATCCAACTCAGTGATGTTAAAACTTACGATTACAGGTTATCTGTCTCAGTTTCTACTCCAGGAAGATTATTTAAACCACAATGTACAGAGAAATCTTTCCAGTTTTGAGAAATTTGCACATGAATTAAAAACTTTATAATGTTTTGAATAGATTTTCAATTTATAAGCCAGTCAGTCAAGCGATCTACTGTAAAACACAGGGTACACAGTAAAACAAGCTTAGAGGTAAAAACACTGACATAGAAGTCAGGTATGAAGACATTCCAGGGTTTAGTCCCCAGCACAATGTGTTTCGAACCTGCGATAAAGAGCCTCAAAGTTTTAAACATGAGTAAAACCTCAGCGAAGCTCCTCATGGAGAACAAAACGGGGTCCAGTACACAAAACACAGACTCAGGAAAGAAAATGCTGAACTTTTACACCCACCTTTTCTAATCTAAGATCCAGTTTTTACTATAGTAGTTGAGAAACTTTGATAGAAAAATAACTACAACATTTCACCGTCATCTTAAGCTGGATTTGAGAAGTGGACGACGCCACTATGGTGTTCCCCCTTTTTTTTTTTTGCTGTACATCACTTTCGAATCCTTCATTCCCGCATCTAAACCTTCTTCGTTTTTTTAAACAGAAAGTGACTATATTTATCCAACAAGGACTTTAACTTCTCTACGGCCTCTTTAAAGTATGCACTCCTAAAAATTTCCAGAAATTTTCAAGGGTTCTGTCAGTATAGATTTTTCAGGAAATGCAGCTTTTGAAGTTTCAGCTCTGTAACAGTTTCCATCTTGGATTTTTGAGACATTTCATTTTTCTGTGGCCTCTTTCGCATATGCACTGCTGAAGTACAACTTTTACACAGTGCAAACCCTTTCTGAGTTTGCACTGCATTGTTTTTATTCATTCTCCAACATGACGCACTATTATGGCTTCTTCTCAGTGATTAAAGAGTGCTGCTTCTGAATCTGCTGAAATTTTCCGAAGGGTAAAACTGGGGTGAAGATTTCGACTGTTTGTGTCACTTGTGTATCTTAGCTCACCTGGAAATTTTCTAAAATATTCAGGACTTTTGTGACATATTAATCACAGCTTGTGTTTGTTGCGGTTTAGCCTTGAAGCACGACACTCTTTATCGTCCATTTTACTGTTAACAGAACTATAGTTTCAGAAATTGACATTGTGCAGTATTTAAGAAGAATTATGGGGAAAAAAAGATTAATAACACAATTTGCCCCCTGCAGGCCGCCAGAAAGGATACAGGTTCCAGATTTTGAGTCTCGGCTTTGCTTTCGAAACCAGAGAGGCTAAGTCCACTTCTCACACAAAGTCTCCCTCAGCATACTTTCCATTTACCATTGAACTGTGTACTGTAGAGACTACTAAACTAAAGATCATCTTTAAGCCTGACTAGTAACATCCAGGTGCTGTTGAGGTTCGACTCTTTACCAAAAACTAGTCTCGAAACACATTTCCTTGTGTTCAGCAAATGACTGCCCTACTTCTAAGCTATGTAGCAATGCAGGTTTCAAAAACAAAACAAACAATTTGTGACTGTTACTGACAAACAGGCTTGTGCAGATGTGATATCATGTTTTAATGAATATGTCCATTAACTAGCAGAACAGTAGCAAACAATTTGAGTCCTCAGGATTGCAGCGTGTACATAAACTGTTTCATTCATCAGTCTAGAGCTCACTGAAGTACAAATTTACTCTTTATACTGCTGCCAAATACACCTCAGAATAATAATTTCATAGTTTGAATATGAAGCCAATCTGAAGGGCTGGTTTGTCAGCCTTGAGAAAATTTTGCTGGGCTTCGAACTTTCCAAATTAAAAGCCATACTTTGCAGGGAAAGAAAAAGATGTTTACATCATGACTTGGTGAATCATGCTGATAGAATACAATGTGCACTCATGGGCCAATCTTAATCACATTCATTAGTAGAAAAGCAGATAATCATTTATGCATTTAGATCCAAATTGTATCCACTAAAAAGCTTCTTACAGCATTTAATGAAAGAGAAAAATGTAAGTTTTACAGCCCTGTTTATCCAGATGTTCAATGTAATTTTCATTTCTGTCTAAAAATAGACCTACGCTCCCTCCTCCCCCCTCCAGCCCTGTCAGATGCTGGTGCTGCTTTTCTCTGGTCTGGATTAGAACCACTTCTGGGTTCAAAAACGGACCTCTCAGTCTGCTAATCTGCAATAATATCAATTGTGATTACTTCATCTAATTACACTGAGTGGCAGACACAGGCTGAGTGGAATTAAGCCAAATAGCTTTCAGGCATCCCTCTGTCTCTCTCTCAGCAGCTCCGGGAATACCTACTGGCTGCAGGGTTTGAGGATTAAGTTTATGACCTGAGAAAACCCCTCTTTAAAAATCTGAACTGTGCAAGTTGTCTGGTTTAAAGTTGGGGGGACGAAAGGACCTTTCACCTTTCCACTTATCCTCAAAGACCTCTTAAGCTAAGACCCGCCGCCTTTGTGGTGTGACGTGAGTTTGTAAGCTGAGTGAGAGTGGAGATGTTACAGTAAGAGGGACGACACATGAGCAGTGGCATGTCGGGGGAGAGGGGGAGCAGCGCAAGTTTAGCCAATATTTGGCACCATGTAAAGGATGATCATATCTAAGAGGAAATAATCGCACATCTCTGCCCTCGAAACTTCTTCTTTGTAGCTTCTGCTGTGTCTGTACAGATGTAAAAGCATGGACTTAAAACAGAAACAATGGAACACATGCTCACGCTTTGTAATCCTCATCTAAAAATCTGTCCACTGCAGATTTAACGGTGTAGCCGACGAACCTTCGTGGAAGGTTCACTGTATATTTCTGACTGGTGTACTGTATGTAAAGACTGAATAAAACCTTGAATGTTACTTCAAGCTTGAACTGACCTGCTGCCTGCTGATTTATGACCTGAAAGTGTTTGTGTGTGTTTCCTTGTGGCATGTGTGTGGAAAACGTGAGTGGTTGGATTTGAGATGATGTGAGAGTGATGGGATCAGGAGGCAGTCAGTGGTGTGAAGGAAAGCAAACAAAGGCGACAACAATCCCGAGTGATACAGTTCTGGAAATTCCCGCCTGAAAAAAAAAAAAAACTGTGTTTGCGGAGCGGTGCGTGCAGCCCAGCTGGTTGGCGTAATGACATTTCTGAACTCAATAGGTGACACTGAAACCTTTCAGTGGGATTAAAACCTTTAGACCATGGCACTGATGAAAGGAGAGGAAGCATGCGTGTGTGTGTATGTGTTCACAATCATATTTCTTCTTAAATCCCCAGTAAGTGAATGCACAGTTTACGTGAGTGCAGCAGTGTCTGTGCATGGATGCATCACGTTACCCAACCTCTGTATGTGTGTTTGTGTGTGTTTATGTGTGCAAGTTGTGTGTGTAAGTGTGTCTGTGTGTGTATGTGTGTCCAACCCCCAACCACCTTCTTCAGCAAGGTCACATGGTGGCTGCGCTGGACTGGGATTGAAGGCTTGTTGCCACGGCGATAAGCCAGCCGGTAATATCTCTAAGCACAGCCAGGATTAATCTGCCGACAGATGGCTGGCTGCTCAGCATCACTTCCTGAAACACACACACACACATACACACACTCGTAGGATTCATATTCACCATCATCATCCTCATCATTATTGTCCAACCACTACCTTCACCCCCCATCGCGTGCAACTGTAAGCACACACATGCATGCACACACGTACAAAGAAAGTCATCTTCCTCCATTATCCTCTCTTATCATTACTACAGCAGCCTTCATCATCACTATCATTACTCATCATCCTCTTCCTCTTTGTATTCACCTCCCTCTTTTCTCCATCACTGTACCCATTACCATCACCATCATCTAAAAACACTGCGGTCATTACTGAAAACCGCTCTGCTCTGTGGGATCAATACACCAGGCAGCGCTTAAATCACCCACTGTGCCTCTGCATGCAGCCCCCTCATTCATCAGCATGGACCCCTGATAGTAAGAGCAGCATTTTGGTTCATGGTTCAAGGGGTCTGCACCTCACCCTCATGAAGATGATCCACTTCCTAGAAGATTTCCATCAACTTAGAGGGGAGCGCACTGCTGCAAAACAGTAAAATCATGCACTGTGTGGATATTTTCTGCACACTTCAATCTTGCTCAGGACTGAAATGAGACATTTTGAATGATAGATGCATGCACTGTAGCATGAGTGCATGGATTTTTGCTCTGACCTTTCCATAAACTTTGGATTTTACCTGTTTAAGCCTCTGTTAAGGGTTTATAGGTTTATTCAGCAGGCAGGTGATAATGCATCCGAATTTGCATCAACATGAAGCACTGATGCTGTTTTGCACAACAACTGGCACTGAAATAGAAAATCTCTCTCCAGACCAAACAGTGCTTATCTCTCTAAATACTACACTGGCTTTACTGAGGTTTCTTTTATTGTTGCAATTACCAGTGTTGAGCAAAAACAACACTATAAATACTGACATTATCAGTTTAGAAAAGCTATGTTGAATCAGTTCAGGCTGGCAAATCAAGCTGCACTGATTTCACACTCAACATGCATCTTTCCTCATTTGACACACCCTCCAAATTTGGTGGCCTATTTAAGCTGTGAGGTTTCTGATCTCTTCGCCTCTGCTCTGCAATTTTCACCACGACTCTGCATCATCGCTGTACTCATGCTCAACAGTCATGTTCAGCAGCGGGCTCTAGAGATATATCCTTCAATTTGTATTTGTATCTTCTTTTCTTTTTATTTGATTTAAATTTTTTTTTGTAAGATAATTCTTCAAGGATGCCAAACCCAGACAGTGATTTCAAACCATTACAACATCAATTATCCAACTGAAGTGCACTTGGCTGTTTTTCAAATCAAATTGTCCTTCAGCAGCACGATTCAACAACCCAATAACAGTCTCATTCTTCAGTCTGTGCTGCAGGTGAACATGCAAGAACTTGAGCATGAGTCTGTCAGTAAATAAAGTATCAAAGTCGTAGCTGAGAGATTACCTAATTTTGACTAAATTATCTGAGCTTGCGTACATACAACATATTTACAGGTGTAACCCATCCTACACAAGGAGATCCCTGGAGACATATGTCAAGGGATCGGTTGCAGTTCATTCATCTGGAAAATGGAAAGTAAACTGATATTGATGGTTGCTGCCTTAGCTATACAACTTGTTTAACAGGCAGAAACCTCGAGCAGGACCAGACTCATGTAAGACAGTCATCTGCTGCTACTGCCTCAGGTCTAAAGAGGAGAAAGAGGAAGATGCAGAAAGAGAGAGATGGACAGAGGAGAGAATGATGCATGTTGCTGAAGCAGCTGGAAAGCAGCAGGTCCATGGCAGCAAAACATCTGCAGCAGCAATCCAGAGAAACCTACAGCATGATGGAGCACAGGGGCTCCTAGAAAAGACTTTTTTAGTGACTCTGGTCACGATAAGTCAAAGTAAATCTGAATGTAGAAGGAGGGAGAGGTGCTCAATATGCCAGAACTGCTGCATCTACAACAGCATCATTTAGAGCTGGTCCATGCCTGAACCAAATCTGACTACAAGTTTTTACAGGCATTTAAATTCACCTGAATAAAGCAAGTTTGTACTTGAGTTTTTGTCTGGTGTGAACACAACATTATGCTTATAATTTTGTGTATATTCATTTAGGTTGCTTCCTGTGTCCCTCTGCTTTACTAACACACGAATTCTCCTGCTCTGAGTCTTCCTGTCTGTAGATGTTTTTTTCTGCACTGGGTTTTGGATCGTTCTGGCAAATTTCTTCATTCATAATGAACCAGATTTGCTTTCATGTCTTGCATATCAGTCATTTTTTTCATTGCTGATGTCCCCAGTTTTAATGTTTTGTCTCTTTATGAATTAAAAATTCTTACATGCTCACTGATTCAAACTTTGCGTGCCTCAACCTTCGGAATCCTTCATCAAAGTTTTACCTTCTTATATGTGAAAGTTGTATGTGCTCTGATATTAATTAGTCCCGGTGTCACAAGTTCAGCTCATAGTACATGCACATAGTAAATGTAAATGTAAGGTGAGCACAGAGATACTTTCATGCCTTGCAAGAAAAATGTAAAAACTGCCTCTGGAATTTAATTTGCACATAAATCATTCTGCTAAAACAAGCCGAAAGCTAAACCAAGTGATGCACATTTGGAGTGGATAATACTGTAAAGTAGATGATTCACTCAGCAGTTATAACGGTTCACAAGATCGCCTAAAACTACAATCACACTGTGACTGTTTCTTAATTAGCTTTCTTATTCAGTTAATTACCATAAAGAACACAGCGTTCGGCTTGATCAGTCTGATAACACGGTCAGCGTTTCCTCTTCTAGGGTTTCCAAAAATGGCACAACATTTTGGAGTAAAATTCATAAAAACATGATATCAGACGTTTTTGAGCCCGGAGCGATCTGATTAGAGGAGATATGAGGGGATAACTAATCTTGTATTACTCAAACATGGATGTCTTTTATGAACAGGCCCAAGTCAGTCAATAACCCTCTAATCCACCACAGTGACATGAGCCTTTATCACACCTTTGTACCTTCATATTGATCGTGCAACAGCATTTTATTGGTGTCCCAGTGTGTGTTTCACAGTGAGCCGCAGAAGTGCTGAAAGACCAGGGATTGACACACAGTGGGAGCTTCACACACACACACACACACACACACACACACACACACACACACACACACACACACACACACACACACACACACACACACACACACACACACACACACACACACACAGTAAAAGCTGGGGTACACATTAGTCACAGGATAACCTTCCAATAAAAGCAGCAAAGATAAGAGTCTGTCCTCACCTTGGTTAGATTTATAGACCTGAATGTCCCCCAGTGGACACATATGACCCTCTACTGTTTGTGAGATCTTTAACATAAGCAGGACATCGTCTCTTGGGCAGCAAAAAAAGGCTTTACCTGCTGTGCTCGAGGTATAAAATACAGTGTTATACTTAAACGATTTATGTGTGTTGTGCAGGTAAACATCGCCATCAACAGAGATACAGTAGACCTGAAAGTTCAGGCACAAAGGACCAGAATCATCCACCCTTTTCCTGATGCTTATCAGGGATAATCAGGGAGTTCTACAGCTCCTCTGGTGGGAGATAAGGTCAGGACTTCAGAGTCTGGCCTGAGCTGGTTGGGGCATCTGATTAAGATGCCTCCTTTTTGGACAGAAAATCAAAGAAAGGCAAAGGAGCTGAATCATTGTGACTGCGATATAACATCCCCATGGACACTTGTCCAACTTCAATAAGTGTTTGTGTGTCTATGGTCTAATTTAGCTCACTTTTATTCTTTTTTTAACTCAGAAACTGGCCTTTAAAGGGCTTTCGTGCACGACGTGACGGGTTGAGAGCAAAGTAAGAAAGCAGGAGAGTCATTAGCATAAATATGAGCCATAAATATAAAAATTACACTGAAGAAAAAAGAGGACAGAGTAACGGCCGAGCAAAGCGAGAATTACTGGAGAGTTGTGCTGATGCTGAGCAGAGAGGAAGCAGAGAAAAGAGCGAGGAAGCTGAGGAGCAATATTGTTGATGGTAAAAACACAGGGGGGTGGGGAGGGGGTGGAGGGGACAGTGGAGACAAGGGGTTAGGAGAGAAGGAAACAAGAAGAGCCTAGAGCAATGTTTAGGCAGGGGAAGCAGGATAGAGGGGAGATGGAAAGACCAAGGAAGAAGCCTGGAGGCAAGGAAAGGGAGAAGGAGGCAGGGGAGATGCACACAGCAAGCAAGGAAGGGGGAGAAACTGAATGAAGAAATTTAGGAAGCAAGGAATAAAAACGAGGATGCAAAAGAGGGTGAGGAGTGCTGCTGCAGCCGCAGAGCTGGATAAGAGTACATGGG